TGTGTATGTAGATTATAAGTGTATAATTATCGTAAGTGTTACTATAAGGCAACGCATATGTGATGTGGAAAATAAGGGTCTAAAGTAGTACCTACATTGTTTTGGCACAACTGAGTTCTCATAGAATCTCCAGCAACCTAGTAGTTGCTTGTTTTACAGGGAAATGGAATCTCAAGTCTTGTAATCTTTTTCTCAATCTTTGTAGATCTTGTTGAAGTAGGGTTTATAGAATCATATGACAGCTTTTTTGTGCCAAAACAATTCTGTATATTTTGTTCTCGTTTTTGTTTTAATTTAGCACGCTATTTGTAAACTGGGGAAAGATGATTCCATCCTAAAGTGCTCTTAATTCTGAACTATTTATGGATAGATATTCAAAAGGGTTTACAAGCCACTATAAAATATCCTGTCTCTTGAAGTTACTACTGCTACTTACTCATGTCACTGGTTATGTTAATAAAGTATAAAAAATAAACAATTGTTTCATTTTTTTAATCCATTTTATTTAGTAAATAATTAAGGATATTGGATGGAAAATTATATTCTCACACCGCAAGTATACAAACAAGGCTAGTGGATAAAGGCGATAGTAAAATTAAACTAATTAATAATTATTACACTTTTGCTTAATAAAGAATTTACTTTTTGAACAGTTGAATTCTTACTTGAGTTTACAAAATAGGTAATATACAATGTCGCGCAGTCTGACCACCCCATATTTGGGCGGTCATTCGCGCTTGGGCGACTTGTATTGACATTTCATAAAATAATATTTTTTTTACTACGAGCTACTAATATCATCAGCCTTTAGTACCACTTCAATTATATTGCGATATTAATCACCACTTCTCTGCAAAACTTATTAACATATCATGCTTATTAAATTATGCGAGAGAATCAGATGGTGATTATTTTTTTATTCCCCATCAGGATACAGTAATTTAATTTCCTAAAATATCTCCATGACTAACCACCAACCACAGTTTTATTTAACCATTCCGAAAATGTTTGAGTCTTTCACGAGACTTAAAATCTTGAAATACTCGCGGACCAAGTCGCAGGCTAGGCTTATTATAAAACACATTCCCTAAAGACTATCATAGTAATAATTAGGTGGGTGGTTAAATTGAAATATTTAGTTAGACCAATCATTGGTCACAAAACAGGCTTATGACAATACTCTTTTGCTAAATAGTTGATATATTGCTTTGCTAACTATAGGGCCAACATTCCGGCTGGTGTTGCCATACTTCAGACATGCTAACAGCATTTCTCCCTCTTTGCTATTACAATTCTCATAGGCCTTTATCAAATTAGCTGGTGTGCTATATACATTAGTTATTGCCAAAGCTTTTTCTACAGAAACTCCTTTTAACTGGAGTAACAACTTGATGAATGTTTCGGTGACTGTTAGAGGCTTGGTCTTGGCTGCAGATTTATTGAAATACTTGAATGTCATGAAGTCCTTGTTGATTGGTTCCCTGTTGTATCCAAACAAACACTGATTCTGAAAATAATATCAACAAAATTATTTACCTAATTGATATAATTATCAATCTTATGAGAGTAAGTATTATGTTCTACTATGTATGTATTATGTATTAGCTAATTCTGTAAAAACATAAATTGCTTTCAAGTTCAACTTTTCCTACTAAACTGATTCTTAGCACTGTAGAACTCAAAAAAATACATACCTTATATTCAATAGTCAATCTTTTAGTCATCATAGCAAGAAATCTGGCAGAATTGCTCAAAGAATTAGTCATATGAATTTTAAATCCATCTTGGACCCTTGTATTTGCCATTGCTTGCATCAAAGACTGGATTGGTAAGCCGACATGTTTGTTGCCTCCATAGTTTTCAACCATATAGATAACATTTTTCAACCCACACTTTCTTAGTCGGAACTTTTGTTCGTGGAACCTTCCATCCTTGATACTGGCACCCAGATCATCCATACGCTTCCTCTCAATTACGTATGGTAGTACCAGCTCTTCCTTACTTTCTTTATGTCTAGCCACCCAAGTGAAGTCACCAACTTTGAGACTTCTGTATTCATGTTTTAAGTCAGGGTATTTGTTGAACTGTGCCACTGTGGGATCATTCTTCTTTGTCACTCTGTAAATGAAAACATTCTTTTGGGAAAAATTATACAATAAATAATGAGACTATATCAATAAACATAAAAAAAATTTGGTGGATTAAACTAACAGAGGCACATCAAGTTTTAAACTGACATCTTATACAGTTGAAATAAGTGCAATTTGTGGAGAAGACGAAGGTTCCCCTGAGCATATTTTCTTTAATTGTAAAAATTATTCTGTTTCTTTATATGATATCCTTCCCCTTAAAACTCCTCGTCCTTTCAACTTCCAATATATATTAACTCAACACTTTTGTATTAAATATCTAAGTAAATATTGTGCTGTCTTTGACATCAAACTATAATTATTCTAACTCCTCTTTCCCTATTAACATAATTGTTGTGTCGTTTGGTAAGGTTTAAAAAAAAAAAAAAGAAAGGGAAAAAACTGCTGCATTACCTATCTAAAATATTACTGAAGCGGACTAAAGTATGTGTCTCCATAAACACTTGACATAAAAAAAAAAGTGCAATTTAACTACAAAAGTTACTCACCCTCCAGTTTCATTCTTATCAATTAACAAAATAACTTCAAAAGATCCAGCTGCCATTTCTATACAGGCTTGATCTGCTGTACTCGATTGGGAGCCAACTTGAGAAGACATTCCACTATCTGTACTCCTACTGACACCACTTTCTTGACTGTCATTTGTTTCCCCTATAGACCCAGNTTCCCCAGTGTTAAAAATTAGATCATTAACTGTAGGCCTGTCTTTTGACTCATTCAGAAGCATTTTAGCTAGTTGGACTCCTTGTTCTGATAATGAATAAACAACTTTTTTCTTTTTACTCTTTTCCACCAGTCCCTTGGTCACTAATCTGGACATATTGGACCATGCTGTGTAGAATGACTCTGGCTTAGGCCGTATAAAAGACTCCTCACTGTATTTTTGGGCCTTGTCAATTAGATTTTCTTTTGCAAGGGCTGGCTCACTTGGGTTCTCCTGCAGATTTTCCAGCAATCCCAGTAGTATAGCATAGCCACCAGATCTAAAAGCAGGTTTATAAATTCGCTCCTTAGACGTTTTTGGACTAGGTGGATCTTGAGAGCTACTATTAGATCTTGAAGGGGCTGGCAATTTATCTATTGATTCTTCATCATTTTTATCTTCTGAATTTTCTTTGTTCTTTGATAATGTTTGTGGAGCATTACAATATAATTTTGAGTCTTTCTCTAAAACTACAGAGCATTGTAGATTTAAATTTTCATTTGAATTAGATTTTTTATGCTGCTCCTGGTTCTCTAAACTTTTATTACTATTATACACTTCCAAGCGTTTATCTAGAAATAGACAAAGTTTCTTTTCAAAACCCCTGAGGATTGCACATTCAGCACCAGTTTTCAGGGGTAAAGGGTACTTGGATATAGACTCCAGGGCTTCCTTTAACATTGGCTCCAACTTGCTGCCTTTAGATTCTGCTTCTTCATGCAACTCTTCCAGCCACTCTTGAAACAGCGGATTGGGTCGCTTGCGCTTGAGAGTTATCCTCTTGTTCTGGGTGAGTTGTGTAGCTGTACCCATAACTGTAAGACATTTTTAACATTAAAATCGAATGTATACCGGTATAGGGCTCGAATTTAATATACGATAATTATCATAACAATCAGCTAAAAACATTTACCGTTGTCAGAATTAACAAAGCAGATTCTGAATTTACTACATTATCAGAATACTTACTGTGCTGTGATCTAAAGAATTTATTTAAAATATTTTTTCTACAAAAACAACAACAAATCCGCGCTGATCGCTAATGTCAATGTGACAGTTTGNACAGTTTGTTTTCTTTTTTTTATGAACATAACAAGGACATCAAATAGTGATTTTTCCAAACAATTCAATACATTTATAATCGTATCGGCATCGTATTGCAGATATTCCCTATTTATTTAATAATTTGATTGAATCTTTCCTCCTTCTTATGACAGTTCATCGGCATCGCTAGAGATGAAATTGAAAGAACGTAAAATACACTGCAAATTCAGAAATGGCCGAAGATTAATCTTCAATTTTAAAAAATAATGACTTCATTTCACTCGATACGATAGATACGAGCGCAATTGAATATATTCAATTGATATTATGTAAGGGTTAACTGTATTTTTTTTTTTGGGATAAAAAAAAGTAAAATGTCATAAAGGATTTCGACACTGACACTGACCAGTGTTGTTCTTGATACGGCAATTGCCGTAATATACGGCATTTAGGCCTCTTAGGCACCATAAATACGGTATACGGCAGCACTTCCATTACCGTATCAAAATATACGGCAATTGATTAAGGTAGAGTTTTATGAGTTTTTCATGAGTTTTAGTAAACAAAAAAAATATTTCATTTAATGGAACGCACCAACTTGTAAACCATATAAAAGAAACGTCAACATAATTCAACCAAATGCAACCTTATCTCCGAGATGTTAATGTCTAAAATCGTTTGGTCTTCATTTTGGTAGATTCTTCACTTTTATTCGGGTCGGTTTTAGGACTAAACTATTTATTCAAAACCTTTATAAGTGAAGAATAAGTTTAAAAGTAGTAAGTATACGCATAGTACATAATACATCATTTGTATTTTTTTTATTTGAACCTTCCAAATAAACATTTTGCACAATACGGCAATTTTTCTTAGTTTTCCTTAAAAATACGGCAATTTTAGAATTAGAATACGGCAACCCTAAATTTGTCAGGAACAACACTGACACTGACAGTGACACGAAATAAAAAAGCGTCCTCTTCTGCGTCGGTCGGTCGTGTTTCAGTCTCTCAGTTCATTTTGTGACTTCGTACTTGTAAAGTATTGTTGATTCAGTAAAGTGAGTGATTAAGTAATGTAGTAAGTGCAAAACAAAGCGCGTCAAGATGTCTCTTGAAATACCCTTGCGGAACTCTGATGAGGTGATTATTTTTTTCGTTTTCCCTCGGTCAAGTTGTCGCAGTGTCAGTGATAGAAAATTACGTGGTATTTTATTTTCATCCAGGTTATCGAGCTCCATCCAGAACAGTTACCATCTGGAGATGAAGTCCTCAGTATTTTACAAAAGGAACGGGCGCAGTTGAATGTTTGGATAAACTTTGCTGTAAGTAACCTAGAAATTAGATTGCATCTTTGAAACATAGTTTTCACTTCGGTATTTCATAAAATTAAATACCACGATTCTTGATTTTGTCTTTTCTCAAATAATTTAGGTAGCCTACTACAAACAGAAGAAGATAGAAGATTTTCTCAAGATATTGGAAGCATCTCGAGTGGATGCTAACATTGACTACAGAGATGAGCGTGACCAAATGCGGGCTCTCGACATGTTGGCCGCGTACTACGTGCAGGAGGCCAACAAGGAGAAGTCGAAGGACAAAAAGAAAGAGTTGTTCACGAAAGCGACTCTATTGTACACCATGGCAGACAAAATCATCATGTACGACCAAGTAAGTTGAACATTTTTGATATAAGCTGCGATTTGTAATCAAGCTAAGTTGCAACTACAACTGAGTGAATCTGTTGAAAAGTTTTCAAATGGAAAATCAGTAAAGAATGTTTTTATCGCTAAAATTAAAATCTTGTAAGAAAATTAACTTGTTGACTGCATAGAAACTACTGAAAATCTCCAATAACAATATTTATTGGAGATTTTCAGTTTCTTTAACAATAGTTACTACTTATTTTTTGTTTTCATAGAACCATCTTCTCGGAAGAGCTTACTTCTGTCTGCTTGAAGGGGATAAAATGGAGCAGGCAGATGCCCAGTTCAATTTCGTGCTCAATCAGTCCCCAAACAATGTCCCTTCATTATTGGGCAAAGCTTGCATTGCCTTCAACCGTAAGGACTACAGAGGAGCCTTAGCGTTTTACAAAAAGGCTTTACGGACAAACCCGGATAGTCCAGCAGCCTTACGTTTAGGCATGGGGCACTGTTTTATGAAGCTCAATAACCAAGAGAAAGCCAGGTTAGTAATGTGATTACAAAAACATTGCCTACGTATATTCATACATTTTTATGTCTTTGAAACTTCATAAGACGAATGGTTGTAATCATTATGTAATCTAAACTTTTGCGTATTTTTAGGATGGCTTTCGAAAGAGCCTTGCAATTGGACCCGCAGTGTGTGGGTGCCTTGGTCGGACTTTCCATCCTCAAACTGAACTTACAAGAGAGTGAATCAAACAAAATCGCAGTCATCATGTTGTCAAAAGCGTATGCCATTGACCCAAAAAACCCCATGGTATTGAACCATTTGGCCAATCACTTCTTTTTCAAAAAGGTATGCATACTTTTATCTCTTTAACACTTGCTAATAGCACTATTGTACTATTATACTATTGTATTCAAGATAACATTGTTGTAATTTTGTATATCAATTATTCATAGGTTTTTTGTCGAATTTCGATTATCTAATAACATTTAAAATTACCACACAGGATTACAGCAAGGTGCAACATTTGGCCCTGCATGCTTTTCACAACACGGAGAACGAAGCGATGCGTGCAGAAAGCTGTCACCACCTCGCGAGAGCGTTCCACGCGCAGGGAGACTGCGACCAAGCCTTCCAGTACTACTACCAAGCCACACAATTTGCACCGCCTAACTTTGTGCTCCCACATTACGGTCTCGGCCAGATGTATATTTATAGAGGAGACACAGAAAATGTAAGTAGCTATATTTAAAAGAAAAAAAGATTTTGGTTGATTTAAAATGATAAAGGTCCAGAATTATCCATGAAGGGAGTCCTCATTCACAGAACAAAACTGTTCAGTCTTGCGACTGATTGCATGATGCGAATAAAAAGTACCTAATAATGAAATGTGAAAGTATATCATTAATATTTCATTTCTAACACCGAGTGATATTTCAACAGGCGGCCCAGTGTTTCGAGAAGGTGTTAAAAGCCCAGCCAGGGAACTACGAAACCATGAAGATCCTGGGGTCTCTGTACGCGAATTCCACGTCGCAGTCTAAACGCGACATCGCGCGGCAGCACCTCAAGAAAGTCACGGAACAGTTTCCTGACGATGTCGAGGCATGGATCGAACTCGCGCAGATATTGGAGCAGAATGATTTGCAGGTCAGTCAGTTCATGCTTAAAAAATTATCTGACAACACAAATAAGTGTGTGTGGTAATAGCTACAATGCGCAGAAAAAATATTTTGTAGCAAGAATAAAACGATAAATTACAGTGATCTTTAGGTACTAAACATTAGTGTCAGTAAATACTTTAGTACAAAATTAATTCACCGTTGAAAATTACCTCTCTACAAATTAAGTAATGTTCTACTATACCTGCTATACTACTTGTAAAGATAACTCTTATGGTATACCAATTTGTTTTTATAACTATTTTTTTTTTTGTAAAAACAACATAAAACATTATTTTTTCGTTTTTGTAGGGTTCTCTCAATGCATACAGTACAGCAATGAAAATCCTCAAAGAGAAAGTCAATGCTGACATCCCTGCGGAGATCCTAAACAACGTGGCAGCTCTCCACTACAGGCTAGGAAACTTGAATGAAGCTAAAACCTATCTAGAAGAAGCTCTTGAAAGGTAAGATTTTTAATCTAGTTGGCTTAAGAGACATTGGATTTATTTGCCATATTATGCCTTCTTCTGAAAATGCCTTCTTCTGAAAATGCCTTTCAAGAACCATTCCAAAAGTCAATAGTAGAAAATATTGGACTCATTTGTGTTAAGATTTATTCTTAAAAAAAGGTATTCTATCGTACAGTAAGCAAATTCTATTAAAATGCACAATGTAGTATATTTATACCTTTTTTATGATTTTTTTTACTTCTTTTTCAAACCTACTTAGAATCGAAACTTCTGTGGTTGGAATTAATATACCTACATAATATCCAGTATAAAATACCACGTCATTTCGTTGCATTTAGTATATCATAGCTTCTGAAACCAAATTTTAGATACTTAACCCTTAATAATCTTGCAGAGAAAAGGCAGATGCAGAGACACTAGACGCACAGTACTACAACTCGATAGCGGTGACCACGATGTATAATCTGGCGCGACTGAACGAGGCGCTGTGCAGTTACAACAAGGCTGAGAAACTGTACAAAGACATATTGAAGGAACATCCGAATTATATTGATTGTTATTTGAGGTAAGTGGTTTTGATTTAATATTCAGCTTAGTTTCCAAATTAGACATTTAAGCAGTGGATTATTAAAATTAAAATACCTGCATACTACAACTTTTTATAAACATTCAATGTAGAAGTGACTTAATTTAACTGACTGATCGGACAACTAAACATAACCTAAATTCCAGGTGTGTAAAACCTAAGTGCGTTTAGTTTTAGTGCATCAATAACGATTTTATCAATTTGCCACCTAGTCATTCCTCACTAGAAATCATGTGCAAAGTCATATTAGTTGATTGTGACGAATTTTCTGCTTCTACAAAAAGGTGAAGTATAGATTTTTTGGAAAATCGAAAATAACCTAAATAGACCGCTGTTTTTTTTTACCTTCGACTTTTCAAGAAACTCCTACTTGGGAGTTTGTAACGGCGGCACGGGCGCGAGGGAAAGACGGCATCCCTGTCTCGCGGGGTCATGTAGCGAAGCTAGTGCTGTGTTAACACCGTCATTGCTATCAGATACGGCAGGGTTTCCCAATTTTTTTTTTGCCAAGGAACCCTAATTGATTATACTTTTCCTAGCGGAACCCCCGTACTACTCCGCCCGCACGCCCTGCCCCTCCCTTGTGCGTAAACAAGTCGGTGCGAGCGAACAACGTCGGTCACGAAACGTGGGATAATATTTTTTACGGAACCCTTGCGGCCTTTCCACGGAACCCCAGGGTTCTGCGGACCACCATTCGGGAACCGCTGAGATACGGGACTATTCCCACCTCTCGTTCCCACCACTGCAACTCCTGTGTAGCCAAGATCTACAGCTTGACCTTCACAAAAACCCAACCAATCATTGCTATCAGATACAAACTACACTCGACATCAAATAAATCGCACCTTCCGCGACAAGCACTTTCAAACGTATGCTTCCCCACTTCCCACCAATACTGGCACCATTTAAAAGCCTAGTTCTATACTTTATTTCATTAAAGGAAAGGTTTTTACCCCAAAAATGTGTCTTTAGAAGGATCCAGAGTCACTTCTTCAAAAAATAAGTAGTTACGCTTGAGCCAACTTTTATAGCTATAAAACTGTTAAATTGGGATTAATCGCTATCCATCAGGACACGTGTGATCATTATTTGGTTTTAAAACCATAAAAATTGATTTAATTGATCCCAGAGATGAGCCCAAAGTGAGGTCTCTTTTCAAGTAACATTTATGGTACATTTTAATCATTTATTAAGAAATTGAATGTGTTTTTTTTAGGATATTTATTGGGCTTTCAAATAACACCAATATTATTGGGGCACCATGATTGTGTCAGAAGAAAATTTATAAAGTTCGCGCGCGGAAGGTGCGGTTTATTTGATGTTGAGTGTATTTTTTCTTTCCCAGGCTGGGCTGCATGGCCCGCGACAAGGGCCAGATCTACGAAGCCTCCGATTGGTTCAAGGAAGCCCTGAAGGTGAACACGGAGCACCCGGACACGTGGTCGCTGCTGGGCAACCTGCACCTGGCCCAGCAGGAGTGGGGCCCGGGCCAGAAGAAGTTCGAGCGCATCCTGCAAAACGCACCCACCTCCAACGACGCCTACTCGCTTATTGCGCTCGGTGAGTTGGGTTTTAGCAAGCATTCTTCTTTACAGAAAACTCAACGTAGAACGTCCACCCACAAAGTTCACCGATAACCTCATAAAGGAAGGCGCTAGATGCAGGCCACTAAAGCCTGGTCCGTGAGCACGTAGAATTTTGTGTAATGACCCCAAGCTACCCATCCTTATCGCTCGCGCGTAATTATGTTGCTGTCGCGCTCGCACACTCACTGCGGGCGCCCGTCGCACAGTCACGACAGCAATATAATTACGCGCGAGTGATAAGAATGTGTAGCTTGGAGTCATTGGACAAAATTCTACGTGCTCACGGACCAGGTTTTACCAACCAGGCGATGTGAAAATCATTGGAAGAGGCCTATGTTCAGCTGTAGACGTCCTGTGGCTAAAAATGATGATGATGATAAAGTACTCTTTTTCAGCTGAAAGACGGACAGAGAGATGCTACCAGAATTTCTACATCAACAGCTCCTGCGCTCTAAGATTTTGGAGCTTTCATGTTCCATTAAAATTAATCAGAAACTAAAACCGGTTGCATTAAGACCTGTGTTTGTCTATTTTAGATCTTGCGCTATCCAAGTCTGCTTCCCGCGAAATTAGTAGTTCTACAAAGTGTAAGATCGGGTTACATTTGTCTTCCAATGCGTGGCTACCACTTTCTACCTCAACATCTATTCGTCCTGCAAGCTCAGTGCCACTCCCTCTGCCAATTAGTTGAGCGATTCTGTCAGCTAATATCGCTGTGGGCATGTGAAAGATTATTTATGCCAGATCAAAAACAAAACCGCGGCAGTTGCTAGCTATAATTTCTTATAGGTTCCATCCACCTGTGCACTTGCTTTCAGAACTTTTATAAATAAAAATATCTTCTTGACACAGGAAATGTATGGCTGCAAACCTTACACCAGCCGTGCCGGGAGAAAGACAGAGAGAAGCGGCACCAGGAGCGAGCATTAGCCATGTACATGCAAGTCCTCAAGAACGATCCCAAGAACATCTGGGCTGCTAACGGCATCGGATGTGTGCTTGCGCATAAAGTAAGTACTCACACCTATCAAATATGCCTGGTCTATTCTACCTTTCATGATGTGAAATCGTTTTGAAATATTTTACTAATCTGTAAATTTATTATTTTTGCTCAATTTGCTGTCATAAATCAGGAGTTACAGAATCCTATGCAAGAAAGAAAGAAAATAACTTTATTTTGGCAACAACACTACAACTACAACTATGCCTTTTTTACATAACAGACTTCGTTAGTTTCGTCTTAGGCAGCACTCACTCTCATGAAGTTGAGGTTCCAAATTTTAAAAGCCATACAATATTAAGAGCGTTTACGCCATTTGGCGCAAAAACAGTANATTGAACACAATCTGACATGGAGTTTTCAAACACTTTTAAAAATAAAAAGTAATTAAATCAAAGGCACTAAGTAGTATTGATATCAACTTCGAAGAAAATGACTGCCAAAATTACTTTCTACACGTTCCACACGTCTTTCATGAATTATTTTAAGGTATTGTTAAACTAAATTTCAAGTAGATTGAACCAAGGAATCACTTTGTCCCATACAAACTTTGCCCGGGTATTTCTCATCGCCACGGTTCTCATCGTCACCTTCGTGGCGAATTTTATTTCTAACTTATTTCAACTTTTTGTAAACAAAAATTGTAGCTCTTGATGTGAAGATTGTATTCTCAGTAAATCAGTCAAATAGTGAGTCTCGTTTGGAAGCTTTAACGTTTTGAATTTTTTGATGCCACGAAAGTGATTCTGTACTTCACAGTAATAATTTTTTTAAACTTTACTACTGTAAATGACTCTTAAGTGTTTATAAAACATATATTTTGTCTTATTTTCATAGATAAATAGCAATAACATAATACAAATAGGTACCAACTTAACCCATATATGCCCAGAACTATTTAGGTCCCAGATTTTTATGTAATTTGGCATATTTACTCTATATAGACCCATAATCATGAACCACGATGAGTTTTTGGATTTCAGGATTTGGAACTATATTTTTTTCAGTCGGTCGAAAACGACCGCCTGGGCATATATGAGACTAGAATGTACGTGTTCATAGTATAAAGTATTTTCAAATAATAGTCGTATTTATTATAGAATTCGTTTACAAATTTTTACAGAATATAGCAAATAGTGTGTAATAATAATATTTGGTTTATTTAGAAACTTGAATAATAACACAGTTAGTACAATTTAGGCTGCAAAACCTTTGCCATGGAGATTTACACCACACTTGCTGCATTTCTTCACAGTTATGTGTTTGCATAGTGCACAATTTCAACCAATCTGACTGGTGAGGATCAATCAAATGCTCAGCGCCATATCGCCTTACACTTAGTAGTATATTAGACGGCACTGGGCGTGTTGAAGGTAGACTGAGTTCAAGGAGATCCATATTTTGGAAGCAAATTTCTAGCAATTAATCTTCGAAACTCCAGAGTTATTATTGACGGTGACATCAATCAACCATGTCAAAAACATTAGAACCATTTTTTTCCTTCCCATCAATAACTTTGCCATAATAGTGAGATCACTTGGAGCATCTGTAGACACTTTGAAGTTTCGAAGATAAATTGCTAGAAATTACCTTCTTACAAATGGATCTCCTCGAACTCAACCTGGACCTTCAACACGCCCAGTGCCTCTAATATACCTCTAAAAGGCTGTATGGTGCTGAGCATTTGATCCTCACCAGTAAGAATCATAGAAATTGTGCTTTATGTAAAAACAAACAAGTGTTTTGCAGAATTTCGTGCCTAAATTGTACTAACTGTGTAATTATTCAAGGTTCTAAATTAACTATATAACATTAATTTACACTATTTGCTATAATTTGATGAAATTATAAACTAATTATATAATAAACACGACTTTTATTTGAAATACTTTATACTATGAAAATCTACATTCTTGTCTCATATATGCCCATGCGGTCGTTTTCGACCAACAGAACTTTAAAAAAAAATAACAAAGCAGATATTTATATTTTCATAACACTTCTTACTTATTTACCTTGAAAATATATTCATTTCAATATTTCAATCGCAATAATCGTTTAAAACAGAATACATAAAAGAATATTTACATTTTTGTAAGACTGGGTGCACTAATTTCAACAACAAAAAAATCTGTGAAATTTAATTTCAAATTCGAAAAAAAGTGGCGGCGAATGATCTTAGTAATTGTTATATTTGAATAGGAAGTTCTTTCAACATTATATTTATAGCGCTAAAACAGAAAAAAAACGTAGAGTTTTTTTGTAATTGGCTTCGCAAGAGAACATGTACCATTGGGTCGTTTTCGTGCCTCTGGGCATATATGGGTTAAATAAAAGATAAAATTTTACCGATTACGTCACCTACTAAGTTACAAGATTCTACGCAATTGGTTTTAAGGGTGACACTGGTGGCATTCTGAAATGCTAAAGAAGCAAAAAACGGATTATCAGTACCTCAATAAAAAAGAACTCTAACTGATTTATCAGTCCCTCAACAAAAATACATATATTTTTTTATTTAGGCCAGAGGGCCTCGTATTTTTTTGTACAACTTTTAACTCAAACTTTATCTTACAAACAGATACACAGTCACATATACAGACATACATACAGTCATACAGACAGACAACGAAAATACGAGGCCCTTATTTATTTATTGATGTACTGATCTCTACTTACCACGTATAATTTATTAGTTATTAAAATATTGTAAAAACCTAAGGTAAAAACATAAACACCAGTCACTATTTTTAAAATAAACCAAAGCAAGAAATCACTTTCGTGGCCTAAAATCACCTTCGTGTATAAAATACCACGAAGGTGATGCCACGAAGGTGACGAAAATTTTAGTTTTTTATGAATTATCCTTAAATTTGAATTTAACGGTTCAAGTTGAATACTACACAAATAAGTCTAACATGTTAAGTTTTCAATGGCAAAGTTTCAATTAAATTGTTTAAATTTTAGAGGTAGAAAATATTGTTCAAGCAAGCGACGGTATGTCTACAGATAATCACAAAAAGTTACGTATTTTTTTCGCGGAGCGACGATCGACCTATCTCACCTCCCCAATGGTCGAAGCGCGACTGACGTTAACCGAATAGAACGCTGTGATTGCTTGCTGGTGTTCGGTTTAACGGCAATCTTGTATTATTGCTCAAAATTTTAGGTACCTAAAATCGTGTGACCAACGTATTTCGCTTTCTCAATTCAAAATAATTATAAGAAGATATTTTTTTGACTATTGTGTAGAAAGTATATTTAATTACGATGATTTTAGTATATGCTACACACAAATTGAATGAAAATTGTGAATGCAGTAACCAAATGTTTCATTGCAACCGAAGGTGTGACACGATGAGAACGCGAAAAATGACCCCGTTTTATATCGTTTCATGTGATTTTTTCGTATTATTTTTGCTTCTATTACGATAAAATTTATTTTGTATGTAGCTAAATAGATATTTTATCATCTGATTTCAAAGTTATTGTTTTAACTTATACAGTTTATGAACTATTATGGTGTGACCATCAAATTTGAGTGTAAATGAGAAGTACCCGNAGGTCCACACAAATAAAGAATGTTTGACTTCGACTTTTGGTTTTTATATAACTTATTACACTCAGATATAATGTGGCTTTCTATTGGTGAAAGATTTTTTAAAATCAGTTCAGTAGATCCCGAGATTACCCCTTACAATTTAACAAATATACAAACACACAAACGATATGTGGCAAATAAATTTCAATAAATAAATAAGACGTGTCTAAAAGCGCCATCCATCGTCATTGGTTAAAGTCTACAGCAATGGACAAACTACGGTATGACGTTCGTAAATATTCATTCGGGGGAAACCGTGAAACGCCATCTATCAACATGGGTAAAATGAGGTAAAACATCATATCTAACGGGGGTAAAACGAGGTCCACGCGAACGAAGTCGCGGGCGGCCGCTAGATTATGTAGGCTTGGTATTTCTGCTGAAGTAGGTATATNTAAACGCTCTTAACCATCAAACGTGCTACACAATAATTGGTTGCAATATATTACGCAATGCAAAAGATAAGGAGACATGTTAAGTGCTCTTTTTGGGCTACCTTTTTTACTGTAACAGAACTTTGATAATTTCACAAGGACATTTTTATTTCACATTGGCGTTTCACATTCAATCCAAGACCTAAACAGATCATAGGCTTTTTGATTCCCAATTTTCCATATATCGCATGGTCGAATATCGCGTGAACTCTTGGCTAACCGTTATTACTTGTTGCAGGGTTGCGTGAACGAAGCTCGCGACATATTCGCGCAAGTTCGCGAGGCTACGGCCGATTTCCCGGACGTCTGGATGAATATTGCACACATTTACGTCGAACAGAAACAGTATATCAACGCTATTCAAATGGTAAGATACTTTTTATGTTAATAGCTTGATCATTATTTTTTACGTATGGGCGCATTATGTCCAATTTGAAAATTATCCAACGCTCAAATTGTCCAATTTGCACAATTTCCAATTAGCAAATCGTCCAATTCGCAAATTGACCAATTCAAATAACTCAAGTAAGACCAATTCAAGTAATTCATAAGGTATTGATCTTCAATTACAAGTAGTCAAATGTGTACGAAACTGGTTAGTTACACACTGCATGGAGGTATGGGCTTCTTTCCTTTGATTATATTCAAATAAGATGCCCTAAGAAATTATCTCAGTGGACCTTTGGGCCAATCAGAAGGTAGGTGTTCTTTAAGTTACAAAAAAATAAACAAGTAGAAAATCTTTTAATTTATACCAAACTAGCTTTCGGTCCGCGGTTTCGCCCGCTTGGAATTTTGTCTGTCACAGAAAACCTTTATCGCGCGCGTCTCTGTCTAAAAAACCGGGATAAAACTATCATATGTCCTTTCCCGGGACTCGAAACTATATCTATGCCAAATTTCGTAAAAATCGGTTCAGTGGTTTAGGCGTAAAAGCAAGACAGACAGACAGAGTTACTTTCGCATATAATATTAGTATAGGTAAATCAAAGGTAAATAACTAACATGTAAATAATTGTTTCCCCACAGTACGAGAACTGTATTCGCAAGTTCCGTATGCACCACGACGTGGAATGGCTAACGTGGGTAGCGCGCGCTCACGGTCTAGCGGGCAGACCGGGTGCCGCGCGCGCCGCGCTATTACGCGCTAGACGAGTAGCGCCGCACGACCACGCGCTATTGTACAACACCGCGCTAACTCTAAGAAGATTGGCTGCCCACGTGCTTAAAGACGAACGCTCGGAGCTCAATAGGGTTCTGCGAGCCGTCCACGAGCTTCAAGTGTCACACGAGTGAGTATTACTTAGTTACTTGACGCTATTTGTGTATGATACTAGCCTATTACGCGCTAAGCGAGTAGCGCCGCATGACCATGCGCTATTGTACAACACCGCGCTAACTCTGAGAAGACTGGCTGCCCACGTGCTTAAAGACGAACGCTCTGAGCTCAATAGGGTGTTGCGAGCCGTCCACGAGCTTCAAGTGTCACACGAGTGAGTATTACTTAGTTACTTTACGCTATTTGTGTATGATACTCGCATATTGCGCGCTAAGCGAGTAGCGCCGCACGACCACGCGCTATTGTACAATACTGCGCTAACTCTGAGAAGATTGGCTGCCCACGTGCTTAAAGACGAACGCTCGGAGCTCAATAGGGTTCTGCGAGCCGTCCACGAGCTTCAAGTGTCACACGAGTGAGTATTACTTAGTTACTTTACGCTATTTGTGTATGATACTCGCCTATTGCGCGCTAAGCGAGTAGCGCCGCATGACCACGCGCTATTGTATAACACTGCGCTAACTCTGAGAAGATTGGCGGCTCATGTGCTTAAAGACGAACGTTCCGAGCTCAATAGGGTGCTGCGAGCCGTCCACGAGCTTCAAGTGTCACATGAGTGAGTATTTCTTAGTTGACGCTTTTTGTCTAATATTTGATACTAGCCTACTACGCTAGATACTAGATGTTGCAACGTCTACCACTAGTTTGCAATCCTTGATGTCGCTAACGAATCCCTTTGCTCTCCTTTATTTTTTAGGCCCAGTTTCCACCAAGGCGTTTATTTATTCATATCCCTTCCTTCCTCTTTGCCGAACCAAAGCTGAGCGGAGAGGTAGTTAAGAACGGTAGTTAACGAAATCTGATTGCTTGTTCAAACATATTTCTTTTCCTCTCCGTTTTGGTGGAAACTAGTACACACAGTACAGCAGTATAGTCCACCTCATATTTTGTTCTTTAGGGCCTCCACTAAAACTCGTGCGGGTATTCGCGTGTGGTGTGGTGATATGTTGAATATTAGTATGGGTACTCACGGCGGACACCCGCTTGCCGGCTGTAGGCGTGCATTTCTATGCATTACCCGCTTCGTGCACTCACGCGAGTTTTAGTGGAGACCCTTAAGCTTCAATCACACTAACGCGTGCCTATCGCCATCGCCGGCGTGGTCAAAGGCCAATGACAGTTCACGCGACCTGACATTTACCTTTGATCGCGCTGTGATTGCGCCGGCGATGGCCATCTGTACGCGAAGATGTGGTTGAAGCATTAAGGGTAAGAGGACGTAATGTGAAGATAATTTACTAAATAACTTTCTCAGATACTTCCAACGCCTGGCCTCGGCTGAAGGCGGCGAGGGCGCGGAACGTGCACGCTACGAGCCGGGCGCGGCGGCGGGCGAGGCGCGCACGTGCGCCGACCTGCTCTCGCAGGCGCAGTGGCACGTGGCGCGCGCGCGCCGCCAGCACGACGAGGAGCTCACGCTGCGCGACCGCCAGCGCGAGCAGAGGGAGGCCTTCCGCAGGCAGCAGGTGATGATAAACCTTAGATCTATTATTGCAGCGTGTAGACAACTTGATTGGTGCCAAGAACATGACGCAACAGCAGCAGACATCGTGTCGCCGCGACGTACTAAAGCTACTAGCTATAAGTTTACTAGTTCACGCTGCGCGACCGCCAGCGCGAGCAGAGGGAGGCCTTCCGCAGGCAGCAGGTGANAGAATTAATGCGATGAAGCGGCACCACACTACGTCAGTGTCGCAATAATTATCGCGATAATGGGCATTGACGTTAGCCGTTAGTGTGGCCCCAGCATTACAGAAAACCCAACGTAGGACGTCCACCCACAAAGTTCACCGATGACCTCATAAAGGTAACAGGAAGGTGCTCGATGGAGGCCACTACCAACCGGGCGATGTGGAAATCATTGGAAGAGGTTCTATGTTCAGCTGAGGACGTCCTGTGCTTGAAATGATGATGGTAATGATGAAGCATTCTGCTAGGCTAAAAGACTGCTGGACAGAGAGCTGCTTCAAGAATTTCTCATCAACAGCTCCTGTTCTATAAGATTTGCTATCATTGAGGGCGGCTTTCATGTTCCATCAAAATAAAAGGGATAAACAAAAACCGATCGCATTGAGACCTGTGTTTCTCTCTATTCTAGATCCTGCGCTATTCGAGTCTGCTTCCCGCGAAATTAGTAGTTCTACAAAGTGTAAGATCGGGTTACATTTGTCTTCCAATGCGTGGCTACCACTTTCTACCTCAACATCTATTCGTCCTGCAAGCTCAGTGCCACTCCCTCTGCCAATTAGTTGAGCGATTCTGTCAGCTAATATCGCTGTGGGCATGTGAAAGATTATTTATGCCAGATCAAAAACAAAACCGCGGCAGTTGCTAGCTATAATTTCTTATAGGTTCCATCCACCTGTGCACTTGCTTTCAGAACTTTTATAAACGAAAATATCTTCTTCAAACAGGTAACGTGTGGCTGCAAACCTTACACCAGCCGTGCCGGGAAAAAGACAGGGAGAAGAGGCATCAGGAGCGAGCGTTAGCCATGTACATGCAAGTGCTCAAGAACGACCCCAAGAACATCTGGGCTGCTAATGGCATCGGATGTGTGCTTGCGCATAAAGTGAGTTATCATCCTTATAGATAAATTGGGATATTCTTCCTCTTCTCCTCAAACTACAGTACTTTCCTCAAACCTTTGTTTGTCACCTGTCATCCGCTTTGCAATGGAGGGAAGTCGAACCTTAATTTCGAACTCCTCCTATGTTCTTCTGATTAATTTCGTTGCGGGTCCAATGACAGTTTAACTTTCCCCCGGGACAAACTTGACCTTCATTGGTTGGGTTTTTGTGGCGGTCAAGCTGTAGATCCTGGCTACACAGGAGTAGCAGTGGTGGGAACGAGAGGTGGGAATAGTCCCGTAAACTACAGTACTTTTGTATGAAGAATCTGCCAATTCATAATGGGTGTAATGTGCGTACTTCCATACATGTTCATACTCATTAAAAGCCCAACCAAACTATCGGCTGATAAAAGTTTGTGGTGTGTATAACAGGACTTCTAGACCTCCCGCTTCAGTCTCTTTGGTCATTTCACAGGAACTGATTTTTAGAGTAACAGCCAATGAACACTAAGGGCTATATTCGCCGGCGCAACCAGTCGCCGGCTACCAACAAAATGTATACAGCTCTATAGAGAGTTACTCACCTGTTGTCCGTTTGGTTGCGCAAAGCTGTATACATTTTGTTGGTAGCGGCGACTGGTTGCGCCGCCATGGTGTCCCGGTGAAATATAGCCCTAAGTCCACGTATGTCCAAGGTCTATCCTTAGTTGAAGACCTAAACTTACATTAAAGTATTGACTCCCAGACTATATCTTGCAAATATAGCCCATGTATGTATTTTCTTATGTCGTATAAGTATTTATTAATTTTATTTATTTGGTACATCAACTTGAAATCACAGTTACATCCATTGCATGTGAATAAACGTTATTACTTGTTGCAGGGTTGCGTGAACGAAGCTCGCGACATATTCGCGCAAGTTCGCGAGGCTACGGCCGATTTCCCGGACGTCTGGATGAATATCGCGCACATTTACGTCGAACAGAAACAGTACATCAACGCTATACAGATGGTAAGACACTTTTGATATTCATAGTTTGATCATTATTTTATTTTATAATTATTTTTTTTATGCTAGACAAGGCAGGTATTTGACCGCAATCGCATTTTTTACGTATGGGCGCATTATGTCCAATTTGCAAATTATCCAACGCTCAAATTGTCAAATTTTCACAATTTCCAATTAGCTAATCGTCCAATTCGCAAATTGACCAATTCAAATAACTCAAGTAAGACCAATTCAAGTAATTCATAAGGTATTGATCTTCAATTACAAGTAGTCAAATGTGTACGAAACTGGTTAGTTACAAAGTGGGCTTCTTTCCTTTGATTACATGCAAATAAGATGCCTTAAGAAATTATCTCAGTGGACCTTTGGGCCAATCAGAAGTTAGGTGTTCTTTAAAAGTTACAAAAAAATAAATAAGTAGAAAATCTTTTAATTTATACCAAACTAGCTTTCCGCCCGCGGTTTCGCCCGCTTGGAATTATGTCTGTCACAGAAAACCTTTATCGCGCGCGTCCCTGTCTAAAAAACCGGGATAAAACTATCATATGTCCTTTCCCGGGACTCAAACTATATCTATGCCAAATTTCATAAAAATCAGTTCAGTGGTTTAGGCGTAAAAGCAAGACAGACAGACAGAGTTACTTTCGCATATAATATTAGTATAGGTAAATCAAAGGTAAATAATTAACATGTAAATCATTGTTTCCCCACAGTACGAGAACTGTATTCGCAAGTTCCGTATGCACCACGACGTGGAATGGCTAACGTGGGTAGCGCGCGCTCACGGTCTAGCGGGCAGACCAGGCGCCGCACGCTCTGCGCTATTACGCGCTAGACGAGTAGCGCCGCACGACCACGCGCTATTGTACAACACCGCGCTAACTCTAAGAAGACTGGCGGCTCATGTGCTAAAGGATGAACGCTCTGAGCTCAATAGGGTGTTGCGAGCCGTCCACGAGCTGCAAGTGTCACACGAGTGAGTATTATTTGACGCTATTGATCTGTGATGTTTACCTATTATGCGCTAGACGAGTAGCGCCGCATGACCACGCGCTATTGTACAATACCGCGCTAACTCTGAGAAGACTGGCTGCCCACGTGCTTAAAGACGAACGCTCGGAGCTCAATAGGGTGCTGCGAGCCGTCCACGAGCTGCAGGTGTCACACGAGCGAGTATTATTTGACGCTATTGATCTGTGATGTTTACCTATTATGCGCTAGACGAGTAGCGCCGCATGACCACGCGCTATTGATCTGCAATGATTACCTATTGCGCGTTAGATGAGTAGCGCCCGCGCACTGTTATGTTTTTCAAATTATTATGATCAGCGTACGCAGATGCTCGTAACGGACACCCGCGTGCCCGCAGCGGGCGTGCATTTATTTATGATATGTCCCGCTCCGTGCACTCACGCGAGTTTTAGTGGAGGCCCTTAACGGTCATCATCATCATCATCATTTTCAGCCATAGGACGTTCACTGCTGAACATAGGCCTCCCCCAATGAGCTATAGGGCTCCTCCACAATTTCTATAAGTGGTTTATTTGTTGCCTAACTTGTCATTATTATACACTGTAAAATCCTGGTTTTCCTAAATAAATATTTATTTTATTGTTTTACTTTGTCAGGTACTTCCAACGCCTGGCCTCTGCTGAAGGCGGCGAGGGCGCGGAACGTGCGCGTTACGAGCCGGGCGCGGCGGCGGGCGAGGCGCGCACGTGCGCCGACCTGCTCTCGCAGGCGCAGTGGCACGTGGCGCGCGCGCGCCGCCAGCACGACGAGGAGCTCACGCTGCGCGACCGCCAGCGCGAGCAGAGGGAGGCCTTCCGCAGGCAACAGGTGATTAGGAACCTTAGGTCTTTCATTACAGCATGTAGACATTGAAGATTTGCAGCTTGTCAAGTTCATAGCCGACTCCACGCAGCAGCAGCAGAAGACGTGTTATTTTACTAGTTCACGCTGCGCGACCGCCAGCGCGAGCAGCGGGAAGCCTTCTGCAGGCAGCAGGTGATTAGGAACCTTAGATCTTTCATTGCAGGGGTCTTGCAACTTAACAGGTGCCAAGGTTAAGATCTTTCATTGCAGGCGTCTTGCAACTTAACAGGTGCCAAGGTTAAATTCGTAGCCGACACACAGCAGCAGCAGACCGCGACGCACTATTAAGTTTACTAGCTCACGCTGCGCGATCGCTAGCGCGATCAGAGGGAGGCCTTCCGCCGCCAGGGCCGTCTTTAACCTACTAGGGGCCCTGGGCTCTTAAGGACCATATCATCATGGAGAAAGGTCTTTCGAATAGACAGGGCCCCCCTTGGTCGCGGGGCCCTGGGCACGTGCCCAAAGTGCCCAGTGGGAAAGGGGCCTGTCCGCAAGCAACAGGTACTCACGACGCTTAGCCTCGCACGTGCGCCGACCTGCTCTCGCAGGCGCAGTGGCACGTGGCGCGCGCGCGCCGCCAGCACGACGAGGAGCTCACGCTGCGCGACCGCCAGCGCGAGCAGAGGGAGGCCTTCCGTAGGCAGCAGGTGATGATACACCTTAGATCTTTCATTGCAGCGAGAGATAGCCAGTTCCTATGTGATTGAGAATTTCAGGTAGGACTCAGTATTGTTGCGGCATTTGGAGGTGAGATAGCCAGTTCCTCTGTGGTTGAGGATTTCGGCTGGAGCTCGAGCTTAAGTTTATACCAGAACACGCTATGTGACCGCCAGAACGTGCAGTGCGAGGCCTTTCGCCGGCAGCAGATGCTCACCTTCTTAGTCGTTTCGCACTTAAGAGTAGGCGCACACCGTTGATTTTTAGTTGGCCGATAGTTGTGCCCGATTTTAAATTGTATGAAGAATCGGCCAAATCGAATCGGCGTAGTGTGCGTACTCTCATACATGCCCATACTGATCAACTGCCCGACTAAACAATCGGCCGACGAAAAATCAACGGTGTGCGCCTACTCTAACAGTGCGGTCGTGATCACGTTGAGACGTTCACGTCGTTTTTAGAGGCAGATACAACTTTCCACACGATCACCCGCCATCTCTCCCGTTGGGCAGACTGTCTGGTGCAGTCAGATAGTCAATATCTTTATTTCCCACCTCGTATTTCACTTGATTAGTCCAGCACATAGGTGACCGCCACGCGAACGCGTTCCATCAACTTTTCACTTGTTTCCGCTAGTTGTCATCCCGCCTTGAAACATGTCCAATGTATTGCAATATGCGCGACTGTACTTTGGACGCATTGGTTGATTGTTTTATTTATTGTTATAACTTTACTTATCATACTTCAAATCACAGGAAGAAGAACGCAAACGCCGCGAGGAAGAACAAGCCAAGAGCACAGTGGAGATGCTACAGAAACGTCAAGAATACAAAGAGAAGACCAAGAACGCGCTACTATTCGCCGACATGCCGCCCGAAGGCAAGCCTAAGGGCCGCCGCCGCCGCGACGAATATGTCTCAGACTCCGGCAGTGCCAGTCCCGGACCAAGGGAAGAAGGGTGAGTGACGTCACATGACACATTATTAGGCCTACAAACACAGCATCAACATCCTACCATTATAAATGCGAAAGTCTGGATGTTTGTTACTCTTTCACGCAAAAACTACTGAACGGATTTTGATGAAACTTTACAGTATTGTTGTTTATAACCCAGATTAACATATGACGATCTGTGACAAACTAAATTTCACGCGGGTGAAACCGTGGGCAAAAGCTACTTAGTCATAATAACATCAATATTACTGTCCATCTTTCCTTCACTAATAAGTTAACATTCAAAATCTCCCCGCATACAAATCGCTTTCCAACCACCTCACTGTCAGTAGTAATAACATTTCTTAAATGAATGTCATGAAATAGTGTCTGATTCTCGCTATAGAAACGATTTTTCGATGGGACGAGATCGCAACGTGCGGCATATTTTTCAGCTATACCGCGACGCACACGCACGTAGCGCCAAAACATCGCTGCCATATCGTATTCGATCTGTTTCCACTAGAGCCAAGATTTGATTTGTTTCCAAGAGTGTAGCGAGATTATTAGTTGCAAGTTTTATGCGCACAGGTTTCTTCACCCCGCTGATACCTTATATTGTTTACTACGCAGGGACTCGTGTGTTGTTCCGAGCCGCCATAAAGTTTGCATCGGACTGTATCGATCTAGTAAATGGCAATGCCAGATTTTGTATGGGAGGTGGCGTCTTTTTTTTTCGCGCGGCCAATGACCAAACTTTGTTTTTTGATTACAAAATAGTGTAATAAACCAAACTACTATGACATGTATGTATACCTCTAAACTCAGTCTGAGCTGAGTTACGAGCATTAGAAGTTTGATGATTTTACATACTAGATTTGCTTTTTGCGCGCAAGTTTTGTAAGAAATTGCAACAAAATATTGCGCTGATTCTACTTTATACTGATGTCTGGAGCCTTTAATGGATGGTATTGTTTGTTTACACATACAATGCCACTATTTTGTTGCAATTTCTTACAAAACTTGCGCGCAANCCCTGGGCACTTAATTATCAAGGCTGACCCATATCATCATGGAGAAAGGTCTTTTGAGTAGACAGGGCCCCCTTAGTCGCGGGGCCCTGGGCACGTGCCCAAAGTGCCCAGTGGGAAAGGGGCCTGTCCGCAGGCAACAGGTACTCACGACGTCTCGCCTCCGCGGAACGAGCGCGTTACGAGCCGGGCGCGGCGGCGGGCGAGGCGCGCACGTGCGCCGACCTGCTCTCGCAGGCGCAGTGGCACGTGGCGCGCGCGCGCCGCCAGCACGACGAGGAGCTCACGCTGCGCGACCGCCAGCGCGAGCAGAGGGAGGCCTTCCGCAGGCAGCAGGTGATGATACACCTTAGATCTTTAATGGCAGTTGATGCCAAAGCTAAGATGTTAAATGTACAACTTCGTAGATGACTCCACTATGCAGCAGCAGATGATGTATGGCCGCAACACACTTTTCTCTGACAGCGCGAGGCCTTCCGCAGGCAACAGGTGCTTAGAAAACCTTAGATCTTTAATTGCAGCGTGTAATAAGTCTTCAGGAACTTGCAACTTGCCATTTGCCAAGGTCAAGTTCGTAGCCGACTCCCCAGCATAGCAGCAGCACTATTAAGTTACTAGCCCACGCTGCGCGATCGCCAGCGCGAGCAGCGCCATAGACAGCAGGCGATTAGAAACCCCACATCATTCTTATCATTGCAGCGAAAATAGATCTTCATAATTATGCAGATTGCTAGGTGACAAGACTAAATGCTAGCGCTAGTGACTCGTAGCAGACTCCACACAGCAGCAGCAAACATCTCGCCGCAACACAGTACGCGTTGTTTACTAGTTCACGCTGCGCGACCGCCAGAGCAATCAGAGGGAAGCCTTCCGCCGCCAGGGCCGTCTTTAACCTACTAGGGGCCCTGGGCTCTTAAGGACCATATCATCATGGAGAAAGGTCTTTTGAGTAGACAGGGCCCCCTTGGTCGCGGGGCCCTGGGCACGTGCCCATGCCCAAAGTGCCCAGTGGGAAAGGGGCCTGTCCGCAGGCAACAGGTACTCACGACGCCTCGCCTCGACGGAACGTGCACGTTACGAGCCGGGCGCGGCGGCGGGCGAGGCGCGCACGTGCGCCGACCTGCTCTCGCAGGCGCAGTGGCACGTGGCGCGCGCGCGCCGCCAGCACGACGAGGAGCTCACGCTGCGCGACCGCCAGCGCGAGCAGAGGGAGGCCTTCCGCAGGCAGCAGGTGATGATAAACCTTAGATCTATTATTGCAGCGAGTAGACTTTCAGGACATGCAACTTGATTGGTGCCAAGGATATGACGCAACAGTTTACTAGCTCACGCTGCGCGACCGCTAGCGCGAGCAGAGGGAGGCCTTCCGCAGGCAGCAGGTGATTAGGAACCTTAGATCTTTCATTACAGCGTGTAGACTTTCAGGACATGCAACTTCATTGGTGGCAGGGACTTGACGCAATAGCAGCAGACATCGTGTCGCCGCGACGCACTTATAAAGTTTATTAGCTCATGTTGTCAGCGCGAGCATCGCAAGGCGTTCTGCAGGCAACAGGTGATTAGGAATCTTAGATCTTTCATTGCAGCGTGAATATGCCTTCAGGTGGTGCCAAAGCTAAGATGTTAAAAGTACAACTTCGTAGCTGACTCCACTATGCAGCAGCAGATGATGCATGGCCGCGACACACTTTTCTCTGACAGCGCGAGGCCTTCCGCAGGCAACAGGTTCTTAGAAAACCTTAGATCTTTCATTGCAGCGTGTAGTAGGTCTTCAGGAACTTGCAACTTGCCATTTGCCAAGGTCAAGTTCATAGCCGACTCCACGCAGCAGCGGCAGAAGACGTGTTATTTTACTAGCTCGAGCTGCGCGACCGCCAGCGCGAGCAGTGGGAAGCCTTCCGTAGGCAGCAGGTACTTACAGAACTTTGATATATTATTACAATGTGCTTTCAAGACTTTTATCAAGTAATTTACCAGGTGCCAAGGGTAAGCTCGCTGGCGACTCCATGCAGCTTTGGGAAGCCTTCACGCAGGCAACAGGTGATTAGGAACATTAGATCTTTCATTGCAGGCGTCTTGCGACTTAACAGGTGCCAAGGTTAAATTCATAGCCGACTGACAGCAGCAGCAGACCGCGACGCACTATTAAGTTACTAGCTCACGCTGCGCGACCGCCAGCGCGAGCAGCGCCATAGACAGCAGGCGATTAGAAACCCCACATCATTCTTATCATTGCGGCGAAGATAGATCTTCGAGATAATTATGCAGAATGCTAGGTGACTCGTAGCTGACTCCACACAGCAGCAGCAAACATCTCGCCACAACACACTACGCGTTGTTACTGAGCAGCAGAGTGCTTTTTGTTACCGGTATCGCCGCCGTCGGAAGGTGATTAGAGAACCTTAGATCTTTCATTTCAGCGTGTATAGGCCTTCAGGACTTACAACTTATCAGGTGCCAAGGACTAGATGCAGCAAACGCACTAAAGTTTACTAGCTCACGCTACGTGACGGCCAGCGCGAGCTAGTAATTTTAATATCTAGCACTTTTTATCGTCGCTTCAAATGGTCATCTTGAAAAGTCAAACCTAATGCTTACTGTAGCACTGAACTTATTTATGTCCAGCTTTTTCTTCCAAGACACCGTCTACCGTTTTACCGTCTATCCTCTAGAATCTAAGCTCGTCATTACTTTATTCAATGTCATACATTTCCTTTACTAATCATACTTCAAATCACAGGAAGAAGAGCGCAAACGCCGCGAGGAAGAACAAGCCAAAAGCACCGTGGAGATGCTTCAGAAACGTCAAGAATACAAAGAGAAGACCAAGAACGCGCTACTATTCGCCGACATGCCGCCCGAAGGCAAGCCTAAGGGCCGACGCCGCCGCGACGAATATGTCTCCGACTCCGGCAGTGCCAGTCCCGGGCCAAGGGAAGAAGGGTGAGTGACGTCACATGACATAAGACCTCCAGACTGTCTATAACTAGCAGCCGCCCGCGACATATACGCGTTTTACCCCTTTAGGAGTTGAATTTTGCAAAATCCCGTCTTAATGAGCACCTAGAACGATTCTAAAAGAAACCCCTATCCAAAATTTGAGACTCTGAGATTTCGTGATGAGTGAGTTAGTCAATCAGTGACCTTTCGCTTTTATAGATACAGATAATGATCTCAACATTACTGCCAATCCTTCCTTCGATAATAAATTTCCAAATCACCCCGCATAAAAATAGCCTTGTCGCACTATAACCGTCATTCCTTCATTTCAAGTTCCAACCACAGTAGTAATGACATTGTTTGAATGAATGTCATGAGATAGTGTCTGGTCCCCGCTATAGAAGTGATTTTTCGATGGGACGAGATCGCACATCGGCTTATTTTTCAGCTATACCGCGGCGCACACGCATATAGCGCTAAAACATCGCTGAGATATCTCATTCAATTTATTTGTTCAGCTATTCTGTCGCCAAGAATGAAGCAAGTATATTACTTGCTTGAGATCGATATAGATCTCTGGATCAATTTAAATATCACTTAATCAAAACACTTGTTTCAGCCGCGAACCCAAACAGAAAGGCCGCAAGAAGCGTGAAGGCGGCGAAGCGCGTAAGAAAGGCACCAAGAAACGCCGCGAGCGCGCCGGCTCAGGCAGCGACAGCGACCCGCCTCGCAAGCGCGGACGCAAGAAGGTAAGCGATATATACCATTCCAAATCTACAGGAAAATCTCGTTTGTCAGGTCAATGAGGGCTATCGTTTTTATAACAGTTGGCACCCCTGGCGATTGACAGAACCTAACTACTTTTTTATATTTTTAAACCGGCAGACAGTGGTGACTGAGTTTTTTGCGGCGCTTCTTCTCAGCACTTGCCAAATGTTTGTCTCGAAGCGCTGGTAGGGCATAAAAAGAATGAGACATGTATAGGCTCCTTAAGAGCATTTGACGATTTGCAAGAACTAATTTAATTAGTCTAAACAAATAAAGATAATTTTGATTTTGATTTTGAACCTTACTCTACAGTGGCGCCATCTTGATGAGTGCAAATGCGATAGTCCTCCTACCACATTAGCGCTCACAAGTTGGCGCCACTGTCTACGCTACTAGCAAGTGACAGGACCTTACTCTACAGTGGCGCTAACTGGTGAGCGCTAAAAGGATAGCCCTCATTGACTGTAACCTTGTCTTGTCTAGTCCGAGTTGCACCACTTAACTTTAAACGTAACTATATCGATAACCGGTGTGTTTTTGTTTAGTTTGACAGATTTTTGACGTTTGTTATAGTTGAAGGAAGATAGTGCAACTCAGCCTAATCTTCTTATATATATAAAAATGAAACCCGTTTCGCGTTGTCACGGCATCACGTGTGAACGGCTGAACCGATTTCGATAATTCTTTTTTTTTAATGTTTGTGGAAGTCCAAGGATGGTTCTTACGGAAAAAAATATTAAGAAAATCTCTACGCTAAGGCGGTACGAAGTTCGCCGGGTCAGCTAGTAAGTAATAAGTTAGCCAGAAAGTGGCGTTATAATTCCTCTTAACACTGCCTTTACTCCGGCTAAAAATCCATAGGAATAATGTACGAACTTATTTAAGCAGCTAGGAAACTCTTTAATTGGCTTAGATTTAATGCTCATCAAACTAACATGAATACTGTAAAACAGCTGTTGAGTTTCTGAATAAATAAATAAATAGAAAGTTACGTCTTGATTGCTCAAAAAGTATAGAAAGNTGTTCGTCTTCTTTTGTTAATAAAACGACGCGCGAAGTTCGTGCTATAAGAGACCATATCTACCTCGGAGTCTGAAGAATGCGGGCCGTAAGTTACGCTGTCTTAGCCGCAGCCCGCCGGCTNTCAGTTCAGACTGAGTTTAGAGGTATACATACATGTCATAGTAAGTTTGGTTTATTACACTATTTTGTAATAAAAAAACAAGGTTTGGTCGATGGCCGCGCGAAAAAAAAAGACGCCAATTTCCGGCATTGTCTTTTAGCCGTCACTTTATCAAACAATCCTCTTGTTTCAGCCGCGAACCCAAACAGAAAGGCCGCAAGAAGCGCGAGGGCGGCGAAGCGCGTAAAAAAGGCACGAAGAAACGCCGCGAGCGCGCCGGCTCAGGCAGCGACAGCGACCCGCCTCGCAAGCGCGGACGCAAGAAGGTAAGCGATATATACCATTCCAAATCTACAGGAAAATCTCGTTTGTCAGGTCAATGAGGGCTATCGTTTTCATACTTAACAGTTGGCACCCCTGGCGATTGACAGAACCTTACTCTACAGTGGCGCCATCTTGATGAGTGCAAATGCGATAGTCCTCCTATAGTTCCAAAATACTGAACTGTCCTATCGATGACATTGACAGTGGGGCGCCACCGTCAATACCGGATCGCTGGTTCCGATTTTTGCCATGTTGGAAACCATATAGTTGAACGATGGTAGCGCCCCCCTGTCATTGAGTTTGGCGGGACAGTTCAGCGTGGGTCACCTATACCACTTTAGCGCTCACAAGTTGGCGCCACTGTCTTCGCTACTAGCAAGTGACAGGACCTTACTCTACAGTGGCGCTAACTGGTGAGCGCTAAAACGATAGCCCTCATTGACTGGTTCTGTCAATTTATTACCTTGTCTTGTCTAGTCCGAGTTGCACCACTTAACTTTAAACGTAACTATATCAATAACCGGTGTGTTTTTGTTTAGTTTGACAGATTTTTGACGTTTGTTATAGTTGAAGGAAGATGGTGCAACTCAGCCTAATAAGTAATAAGTTGGCCAGAAAGTGGCGTTATAACTCCTCTTTACACTGCCTTTACTCCGGCTAAAAATCCATAGGAATAATGTACGAACTTATTTAAGCAGCTAGGAAACTCTTTAATTGGCTTAGATTTAATGCTCATCAAACTAACATGAATACTGTAAAACAGCTGTTGAGTTTCTGAATAAATAAATAAATAGAAAGTTACGTCTTGATTGCTCAAAAAGTATAGAAATTTAATGGCAGTTCAAGTACTTCTAATCGTATTATTGGACGCGATAATCGATGACATCACTGATGATAATACATTTGTGACCTGTAAATCTATTTTTCTCTATTTCAGTGCCACCTTTTCATTCCATGCATTTTTTCATTATATTCAATTAATTTTTCAGGGCGAAAAAGGCATCGGCCGCCGCGAAAAAGCGAAAGCGGCTGACGAGAAGCTCAGCGCGAAACAACGTGCGAAAATCGTCTCCAAGGAAACCATATCTACCTCGGAGTCCGAAGAATCCGACGCGGGCCGTAAATCGCGCAGCCGAAGCCGTAGTCGCAGTCGCAGCCCGCCGGCCAACAAAGGCCGTAAGAGAATCATGTCGGCGTCTGACAGTGACAGGTATGCGACATTAGTCTTTGTCTTCTTTTGTTATTGAAAGTGCCAAGATTGTCTTATGAGACTTATCAACCTCGGAATCTGAAGAAGTATCTGACGCGGCCCGCAAATCGCGCAGCCGCAGCCCGCCGGCTAACAAGGGCCGTAAGAGGATCATGTCGGCGTCTGACAGTGACAGGTATGCGACATTAGTCTTTGTCTTCTTTTGTTATTGAAAGTGCCAAGATTGTCTTATGAGACTTATCAACCTCGGAATCTGAAGAAGTATCTGACGCGGACCGCAAATCGCGCAGCCGCAGCCCGCCGGCCAACAAAGGCCGTAAGAGGATCATGTCGGCGTCTGACAGTGACAGGCATGTGACATTAGTGTTCGTCTTTTGTTAATGAAAAAAAACACCACGATTGTGTCATAAGAGACCTCAACCTCGGAATCTGATACAAGTCGATTTCCGATCGGAATCAGAGGATCATGTCGGCGTCTGACAGTGACAGGTATGCGACATTAGTGTTCGTCATTTGTTAATGAAACAAAACACCACGATTGTATCTAAAGAGACTATATCTACCTCGGAGTCCGAAGAATCTGACACGGGCCGTAAATCGCGCAACCGAAGCCGTAGCCGCAGCCGCAGCCCGCCGGCTAACAAAGGCCGTAAGAGAATCATGTCGGCGTCTGACAGTGACAGGTATGCGACATTAGTGTTCGTCTTCTTTTGTTAAAACAAAACACCACGATTGTGTCTAAAGAGACCATATTATTATCTACCTCGGAGTCCGAAGAATCCGACGCGGGCCGTAAATCGCACAGTCGCAGCCGTAGTCGTAGTCGTAGCCGCAGCCCGCCCGCTAACAAGGGCCGTAAGAGGATCATGTCGGCGTCTGACAGTGACAGGTATTGTATATTTACTTACAGAGACAGACAAACTAACGCCCGTATTCACATACAAAACTATGAGGTCTCACAGTGCGCACGAACCAATCACAGAGATCTATTCAACAATCAATTCAATTAAAAAAGCACTTTTACACGTCCCAGTATTAACCCTACCACTGCTTCAGGACAATAAATGGGCCAGTGCTGAGAAGAAGCAGCGCAAGAAACTCGGTCACTATTGTCAGCCTCTTTTTCAAAGGTTTACAGGCTTTACAATATACAAAGTTATAAATGTTTATGCGAGCTAGGCAGTTACGCATCCCAAACATTTTTATTAAACGTTCAATTTGCTGCTTTACTTAGCAAGCACCCTTTGTAAAGACGGGCGTAAAGTCTTTGTCTTCTAAAGTCTTTTGTCACTGGAAGCAACGCGCCAATATCGTGTTCAAGGAGACCAAATCCACGTGCGAGTTGAATGAGTCGAGTGATAGTGAATTCTCCTCTGCAATTATTTAAAATTGTAATACCCATTCTTTTTATTTTTAAAGATTATTAGCAATTTGTACTGCCCAAATTACTAATAGTCCCGTTAGCCCCTCGTGGTAAGCTAAATAAGCTTGTGTTACGAGTGGGCTCACCACAATAGTCGAGGGGCGGTGGGATTCGAACCCGCGTTCCTCGGATCTCGAGTCGGCCACTCCGACCCGTTCGGCTATCGTGGCTATGTGTATGTAACAGTTATGCATTGTTAAATAGCAAGTAAAACGTTTTTCAATTTTATTTATCTTTTTTTCAGGTCCAGATCTCGGTCTAAGAGCAGATCTAAGTCCAAATCTCGCAGTCGATCGAGATCCAAGAGTCGTTCAAGATCTAAAAGTCGGTCGCGTTCTAAGAGCCGATCACGTTCCAAGAGCCGATCGCGTTCTAAGAGCCGCTCCAGATCTAAGAGCCGTTCCCGGTCGAAGAGCCGCTCCAGGTCGAAGAGCCGCTCCAGGTCGAAGAGCCGCTCCAGGTCGAAGAGCCGCTCAAGGTCGAAGAGCCGTTCCAGGTCAAAAAGCCGCTCAAGGTCGAAGAGCCGTTCCAGGTCAAAAAGCCGCTCTAGGTCGAAGAGTCGATCGAGCTCGAAGAGCCGTTCGAGGTCGCGATCCAGGTAAATAAAATAATTACAATCTTAGATCTAACATAATCAAAACATGTGGGAGTGTGAAACGGGACGCAAGAGAGTGAGTGAAAGGCAATGAATGAGTGAGTAAGAAAGGTGATTTTGGACAAGACAGAACAGAAGACGAAGCCAGGACTTTCCTTTTTTTGTGGTTTTATCCCGGAAAAATACAGACAAATATTACTGATTTTCAATTCCTACATACATCACATTTTCATCTAAGTTGTTATTAAAAAAAATCTGACAAATACCGTCCATTATAGTCTATCCAACATAGCTTGATTAGAATGACAGCTGCCATCAAAAGTAACGACATAACTTTGTAGTAGCGATCAATGAGAGCTAAATATTGGCGGACAAGAAATAATTCACGTTTGACCTACAAACAATATTTTCGACGACAGTGCTTCCAATAAAAATGTTAATTTCGTGTAAATGCAGCGTTAAATTACACCAATAAGTAGTAATTCGAAATTATAAAAATCAAGCTAGAGTATTAACGACGTCTCTACAAGGTTATCTCGAGTTACAAAAATGTTAGTGTTGGGACATATCGACAAATGTCATATTAAATTAAAACTATTTTTTTAACATATTTACCTTTTTTTTTTCTAACTAATTTTTTAACATATTTAAGTCAAGTTATACGTTTTTCTAAATGTTCACTATTAAAAATCAAAAAACATTTCATTCTTAAATAATCAAATATCGGAAATCAATCACCGGTAATTTTTTGGGTATTCATAGCACCGTTGCTCTAGAAGAGATGCCCACCGCCCTCTAGCGAGAGGAAAAAACCACTGAAGAACACTGATGATAATGACTACGACTTAGGTTGTACACCCTTGACATGAATTTAAAATTTTAATGTCTTTAAATTTATATCATTTGTCATTTTTATGAATAAAGATATGAAGAAAAATTGGGTGCATTTTTTTATATAATTTTTTCGAAAACTTTACGATACATCTATGTGAACCGTATCTCAGCACTAGTCACATTCGTTTGACAGCTGTCATTCTAATCAAGCTATATTGGATAGACTATAGTATCTCAATTTTGGTATAATTATAACTTAATTTTACATGTTTATTCTCTTCCACAGGTCCAAGAGCAAGTCCCGCTCGCGGTCACGGTCGAAGAGCAAGTCGCGTTCGCGTTCGCGCTCGCGGTCGAAGAGCGGCTCGCGATCTCGTTCGGGCTCGCGCTCGCGATCACGTTCGGGTTCGCGCCACTCGCGACCCGACACGCCTGTATCAAGAAAGTCGGTGTCGGCCAGCGAAGACGAGGCGTAAGCCAAATAACACCTTATCTCGCCACCACAACGATAAAAATCCCGTGATTGAAGTGACCCGTAGAAATTAGAATTTAAGGCAAACACCATTCGGTACCAGGATATAATTCGTGGTCCGTAGAATTTGCAAGAAAAACCACATTGGTGGTATGTAAATATTTTCCATTACCTGTGCGGTATGCAGTCTTTTATTTGAAAGTGATTTGTTCTTTTGTGTTACAACTTAAACTTGGTTTATAGCTTATTTTGTTAAGGGTATGAGATGAAGCGCAGTTGAGTAGCTGTTAAGTGAATTAAGATTCGTGATATGTTTCATGACATGGATCACATTCGCTAACTTACGCGTAACTATAACCTCGTACTGAGACAAAAGTATTAATTTCTTTCTTGTATTTTTTATTCTAATTTAATACCTTTTCTTATTGTTACGTGTACCGTCAAATAATTTGTCTACCTCTAATGTCAGTTCCAACTGCTCTTGCAGTATCCATACATAACATAACCCACTGGTGTACTTGAATTTTGCACTTTATGCTTACAGAATTAGAATCTAATTTTCTAGATGCTACTCGACTGCTCTAATTCTTAACCCTTAGGTTAGTAGGACTTGTACACATCTTTATTTATAGAAAATAAACCAATCAAACACCATTCTTAGACAATAATTATGAACTTTATAAATATCGCATGTACAGTCGACTGCACGTCAGATTTTACATGTTTGGTGCAAAACAGCACTTTTAACAATGTCATAAGATACCACAATGAATAGCTTGACGTGCTCCGTACTCCAATTATCAATTAACATGGCCGCTCCAATAATATAGATATCGGAATATCTAATAAATAATTTTTATATCACATTTTGTAACATTTGTATCGACATTTAGTATACAAGTAACTCTGATTGACTCTTTAAAATTCTGACTCACTAGACTTCCATTTTACTCGACTTCCATATAATTATCAGTATATTTATTGTACAAGATCACTTATTACTATGAATTTGATTATCTCAGTCAGTATCCATGATAGAAAAGTATTAAAAACTACAAAGTGTACAAGATTGGAACATGTTTCGACTTCATTTCGGCTTTTACCATTCTCACTCTGTACTCTAAGCATTTGTTTTATATCTTTATTTGGACTGACTACCTGTACCTATTATGAAAAAATAAAATAAAAATAGAAAAATAACATTTTGTTTTCATTTCCATAGACTATAATTTCCTATTGATAGAAGTAACAGCAGTACCTCTAGTACGAAAAACTTTCGAGTTCGTTTCGTTGCGTATTCAAAGTGTCATCGAAAAATTTTGTATGAAAAATTAAACAGCGCCCCCTATATTATAGCCGCCCTAGGGGGCGCTGTTTAATTTTTCATACAAAATTTTTCGATGACACTTTGAATACGCAACGAAACGAACTCGAAAGTTTTTCGTACTAGAGGTACTGATAACAAAAGCTCTACGAGATTTTGGGTAGAGGATGTAGCAATGAATTAAAAACAGTTTTCATGAAAATTTTGTATATTTTACAATTTCAAATCCATAATAGAATATTTCCAAAGACACTTGTATAATTTGCTCGTAAATCAAACATGCGTATTATTTTTGTTGTTTAAATCAACAAATTGATATAAGTAACAAAAGTTTCAATGGGGTTCAACTCTTAGCCCAACATTGTGTTGAGATTCATATTTTTCTATAAAAGATAACAACAATTTATTAATAGCTTACAATAATATACTTTATTTTTATCGATTTAAGGTTTAATTAACACAACCATTCCCATTCCACACGAAACAGATAATATTTATTCAAACAAAATAACATTGGAGAGTGAGATTAATAAATTACCTAATGGACTAATTGGACTAGAAAAATTACGCATAATATCTTACCTCTAATAATTGAGCGTCAATATAACACGGCAGAAACAGCTTTGATAAATAAATATTTCAAGCTAGAACGTTAAACTTTAGAGAATATAAAGATATAGTGGTCCTATACGATACTGAATATATTGTTGTCATTCATAGGAAAACTTTAAATTAAGGACGTTTGGATATAGTACTTATGCGCACACGCCTCGCACGTAAAGATTATGATCGGTTAGCACGTGGTGTCAGTCTCCGTGTTCCTAGTATGTATGTCAACGTGAAATTGTGAACTCTGTCAGTTTATAATATAACGCGTTAGATTGTAAACTAACAGTGGGTTAGGTTAGGTTAGATTGTAATTTAACTACGCCAGATTATAATCTGGCGGAATTCACAATTTTACGGTGACATATACACCGAACACGGTAGTAGTAGTAACCCAAATATTTTATGTATGCCTAATTTATAATAATCTAATAAACATTTTCATTGTGTAACTGTAAATAACTGGATAGTATTCGGACCACTACAATAATATAAAACAATTTACATTTTTAAGGCATATAATATCTTGTCTTTGCAAGTTAAATCTATATTTTTGGTTACGTTTGCGGACAATAAAGTGGTTTAAAATTACATTTAACTCTGCAATATCACTAAAATTTGAGAAAAGGAAATAACAATAATTAAAATATTCAATTTGGAAACTAAAATCACAGTTTATCTTACCTAATAGACTTAATAAGATTGTAAAAACCGCTGAAACTATTTTAGAGATCTAGGTTTATGTCTTTTGATAATATACCTTACAGTTTCTGCTAATAATACTGGATAAATACTGTAAAATGTTAATAAGTATGAAAAACTTTTAAATCTATCTTTACTCGAAACAAATTGGTCAGCACAAGTTAATGTTTACGCAGCGGTTTCTACTTCATTTTTTTCTATATTACCTTGATACCTAAATCTCCGTACGTACCCTAAATATTTTTCTATTCAATGTTATACAATTCCAATACATTATCTCTCGTAGAAACTACTTTTAAAATTTCATACAAACGTTTCTAAATGTTAATATTTTTCATTAAAAAATTTGAGTAAAAATTCGAGTATGTGGCAGTATTCGTTCAATATCGAGATAAGTGGTCGATTATTGCTAAATAGATTCATAGGAAAAACTATATTTGCATAAAAGTGATCTGGATATAACTGTGCGCTAATATAGCTCTTACATACCTTACACTAATGACTAGTTTCTTATACGATTATGATTGATGAATTTGTTATAAAACGTACGTGATATAGCCGTTAAAACGGTAGGCCTATAGGATTAACTTTTGCTTACTTTTTAGGAATACCTAACCGCCACCCGCGGGCAAATCTTATAGACGAAAGAATTCTGTAGTCCGTTGAATTCTGTTTTCTTTCAAATTGAATCAATTCCCGCGTAAAGGACTCTTTTTGAAGCTATTATCGCTCATTTTGCTATAAATTAATTCGTCTCACTATTTTAGTAACTATTGTGCGTTATGTTATTGTATTTTAAAAATCTTTAGTTCTTTATTCTTTGTATGTGTTGCAATGAATCTGAGCTCCTAACTAGCATGAGCCATGGCAGCTAAAATTATCTAACTCATGTTTTACAGCCGACAGTGCATCCGCTAAGTTTATCTACAAGTCTAATCCTTCCTATGAAATAACACCAATTTGTACATTATCTTGTTTTTAGGCAACAATATGGCTTCAATGGCTTTTGTTAAATCTTCCAAGAAGGTGTGAAGATCGACTAAGGAAGGATAGGGGGATAAATCTTTTTTTAGTTCTGAGTCCTCATTTTGCAAAATAAGCGTATCAATGAAATTCAACTTTACTGATAGGTAAAAATGAAAAAAGTATATCCATTCTGGAAATAGCACTCATATAGTGGAGTCTTTAAGGTTTTTTTAGCAGAGGAAACTCTCAATTCCTCATAATATACACACTTTGGGTAGCTAATATTTCAACTGGAATTGCGCATTGTCGACAAGCCAATTTTTTTTTGGACCAAGAAAAATACTTCTCAGGCCAAGTATCAAGTCAATGTCATAGATTTAGCTCTATTCTCCATAAAATACTAAATCTAATCTTACACCACTAAGACGGTTCCTTGGTGCCGTTGGTCTGGGCGAAGGTCACGCTGCCATTGGCCATGGTGGTGTGAGGCCCTCCCAGGAATGAGGTAAAGGTTGTGTCTCTGCTGATGGGAGGCTCTAAGCCCTCTATAGGGATGCAGTCCAGGGTTGGTACGGTGTATTCCCTGGAAGAGTGTTGTGAGTTTAGTTATCGATTGAAAATGTACATTGCACCCTAGAATGAATGGGAGGCAACATGTAATGTAAGCTTTGCCCTGCGATTACACGGAGACTTGGGATATGACCGCAAAAGCAAGTCCGGTCGCCGAGCACGTAGAATTTCGTCCAATGACCCCGAGCTACCCATCCTTATTGCTCGCGCGTTATTAATTTTATATTGCTGTCGCGCTCGCACACTCACTGCGGCCGCCCGTCGCACAGTCGCGACAGCAATATAATTACGTTCATTGGACGAAATTCTACGTGCTCAGCGACCGGACTTTACCTAGTTACCTACTATTCCAGCTCTACCATGGGGATATTTTTCTGGAGGAGACTGGAGGAGGAGATATCCCCGCGAAGTCTTCTTTTTCTATACTATCATTTTTAACCCACTACAACTAAAGTAGGAGGTTCTCAATTCAGTTGGTATGTTTTTTTCCATCATTGTCCTGTACAACTTCGCTGAGGATTTGGACGCAGGAGAACGAACTTCTATCCGTTCGCCGCTGGCGATATGACGTCACTCGAAGGAATGCGTCTATAACTTTAGCAAAATAATATTGAAAATATCTTTTATTTATTAATATTGATAAAAACTGTGTATATGCGTAAAATAAAACACTTAATTGCGTTTAATCACTAACAAATTGCGTTTAATCGCGTTTGGAGGAGGGGACGCGCATTCCACGGAGCGGCAAACTTAGCGCGAACAGGTAGTACTAAACTAGCCTCTATTAATAATAATCCGAGACTATGAACCAGGCAGGTGACCGGTAGTCTCCATCCATAGCCCAGTAACCAGTCCATCCATCCTTCATCCATAACCCTAGTCCATTTTCCAATAACTGCAATAGCACCTGTGCACAAGCTGGGGATGGTCTCTGGCTACATCCCATGATATAGTCAGAGACTAGATCCAGCATGTGCACCACTTTCACTTTTGTCGATTATTTTGCGCTTAAAACGGCCTCTACGTGTTGGATCTGTAATCTGTATCCCCACGCAAGCCTTATAAAGGACCGGGCCACTTTTGACCCGTGAGCTCCAAAGCGTACAAATATAATAATAATAAATATTAGAGATGAAACGGATATCCGGCAACTATCCGGTAGGCCGGATATCCGGCCTAAATTTACTATCCGGCCGGATACCGGATAGTAGCTCACTATCCGGCCGGATACCGGATATTAAAAAACTACGAAAATTTCCTATAATAAAATGAATCACATTAATCTTTGAGTTAAATATCAATAAAATGGCTTATAATAATTACGGTTTTTATCTAAAGTCCAAAAAGTTACAAAAAAGCCATATTAAGGCCTTTCAAAAAATTAATTTCTTTTCTGGACTATTCACTCTAACTAATGACGAATACATAAATAGTAAATATATTTTAATGTCGAAATATTGCCAAATAAAATCGGCGATCTTTTTTTCACTGATGGTCTGATGACATACAGGGTGACTTTGAAATCGTTGGCATCCTTTTAATATAAGAATACTCATGATACATAGTGCATTCCCCAAATATGAGACAAATCCAATGAGATTTTTGACATTATTTTAACTATGTATTTGTATTAGTGTGCTCTTAAAAAGAGTTNTCTGCTCATGTGACCTTTACCCTTAGGAGAGACACTTGTCCTCCGGTCAATCTAAATAACAACGAAATACCTCAGACAGATAATGCAAAATACCTGGGAATGCACCTGGATAGAAGGCTCACATGGCAGAAGCACATCTGGGCTAAAAGAAAACAACTAGATGGAAAACTTCGTGGTCTTAACTGGTTGATCGGACGAAGCTCGCAACTGAACAGCACCAGCAAGGTCTTGGTATACAAAGCAACTTTGAAACCTATCTGGACTTACGGGATACAGTTATGGGGAACAGCTAGCAAGAGTAACATCGACATACTGGAGAGATTTCAAAGTAAAGCACTTAGAACCATGCTCGGCGTACCCCAATGTATTAGCAACAAGTACATGTATCTTGACCTAGGCATGAACACTGTTCGTGAGGAAATAGTACAGGCAAGCCTGAAATACCAGGAGAAACTGGAAACTCATGCAAACGAACTCGCACAGGCCTTAAGTGGAGAAGGTGGACTACAGTACAATCGACTGAAAAGACAAGGCATTCCCAGTCTCGCCCAAAGATTTGTAGACTGAGCCAGGAAGAGAGCTTGCTGGAAAAAGTTCAGCAATTGATTGGCTCTCGAAGACAACATAAAATTCAGGACATGTAGCTCCAGCCAAACAAGTGGCTTATTGTTTTCGAACAGATTGCCATAGAGCAGAAAATACATAAAAAAAAAAAAAAAAAAAAGTACTAAAAGTAGAATTTTAAATCTTTATAGTCCATCAAATTTATCCACAACGTCATGGTTAAGTATTAGGTTTTGTAGTCTTTATATGAGGATAAGATTAACTATGTATTACACGTCTCTCAACTCACCTTGAACTGAAAAATATACATTCCAGCAATGAGTGTGTAATAATCTGCTGACAAAAATGATAAATGCAGGATAATTGAGCCCGCATCTCTGAGCATAAAGCATTGCAGTATCTGGAATATTGTCTGCGTGGTGCAGTAGCTTCCCAGCTGTACGATGGTGTCAAGATCGTACCAGTTGAAGAGCATCAGCTCGTGGAACTCTACGAAGAATGTTTGAGTGCACGACACAATACTGCCAATGAGGCCTAATAAAGCCAAATAGTCTGAGCAAGACTGCGTTTTGAGCATCATATCTTGGAGGACAGTCACCATGGCATAAAGAAGGGAGCCCCCTAGGCATAGCATGTCACCGACCAGCTGATTTTTGCCTGAAACAGTAAGAAATGGTTAGCATGTAGAATTAATACAGAAAACTTAAATAAAAGCCATGGAATATCTTTTCACCCCTGGCCCATTATTGTCCTGAAGCAGTGATAGGGTTGGGATATGTAAAAGCTGTGAGAGCCTACTTAAATAAATAAATAAATCATTTGTTTTGTATATTCTTGTTTTGTTATTATCAAATGAACATAAATCAATTTTTTTTTTTAAACAAACTGCTATCAAGTTTTTAAGTACTTATTAGATACTAGCTTTCCGCCCGCGGCTTCGCGCGCTTTGACTACATTATCTACATATTTTACGGAACCCTATTTTTTTCCAAAATAAAATTTAGCCTATGTTACTCGTTATCTACGAGTAACATAGGCTAAATTTTATTTTAATTTTATGTAGCTTTCGAATGGTGAAAGAATTTTTAAAAACGGTCCAGTAGTCTTTGAGCCTATTCATTACAACCAAACAAACAAACTAAGTTTTCCTCTTTATAATATTAGTGTAGATCTAAGCTCAAATATAGAACGATATATTTTTATCATTACCATCAGTAGGAGCGCCTTCCACGTCAGCCCACACCACACAAACCACGGCCATTAACCCTAACGTGGCGCCAGCGACGTGCGCCACCCCTAGCCTCTGGCCTCGCCACGCTCCTCCCACCAATGCAGCACCCACACCGCTGCACGCAAGCAGCTGTCAGCTCAGGACTGACGTGTAGCGCTGTGACATTACCAACAGCCAGCTAGCTTCCACGTCCAGTGCACAAGCGATGAGAATAATCCACCATCTTCTACAAGTAAATTTTAAAAAATAATGTGATTATCTGTTAAACTATGTAAGAACACAGTTATTATGATAGCAGGAGTTAGGTACTGCACTTACTTGGATATTTTTTTTAATCCATTACACAACAAGGTCGGGGTAAATAATATAAACAGTGTAACATACGGCAGCACGAGCTGCCCGGTTGTTGGAAACTGCCAAGTCGCGCTCTGAAGGAGCGTCGTCAATATGCATTTGCCGCTCAATAGAATTGATAAAGCTTGGCCTAAAATTATACTGCGCCACACTTTCCTGAAAGAAAAACAAAACCTTTAGCTTCAGATACGAGAAACTTCTTCAGAAAACACTAAATAACAAAATACTAGCCATCGCCCCAACTCCGAAAAATAAGCCTCAATTTTGTCACTGAAAGTTACGTCTTCCATCGTTTGTTGATTGCTTATAGCAATTTTCAAGTGGACGAAAACTCTGTAAAGTATGTTATTTTCTCATGGAACAGCTGGAAAACACAAAAAATTGCCATAATTTTCACGACAATGAGCAAAGCAGAGCCAGTGGCATTATTGACAAATTTGACAGTTTCTGACTGAAACATTTCAGCAGTTTCCTGTTTAAGTCTTTCTTTTAGCTCCTACATTACGATAGATGGCGCTAAAAACTAGTCCCTAGTAGCTAGATGGCGTTAAAATAGCTTCTTGTAAAGATGATGATTTTTGTTGTTTGCTACAAAATAAAGTTTAATCTTTATGTAAACTCATAAAAGAAGTCGTTGGCTCCTAGGCTAGGACATTGACAGACAAAGATGATGTGAATATTTATAACTTCTAACTGGATTTGATTTTAGCGCCATCAGATACCTAACCGAACTAAACCATTCTTAACTTTTCTTTTTGTCACTAGATGGTGGTAGTTTTTTCACAGCAGCTCTGCGTTTCGTTTCGTCTTCATTATTTTCAAATATTCTGATAGTTCGTTTTGTGTTCTGTCACTGTCAAAAAAGTGTGTCATCAAACAACAGCAACGTATTTTGTTACTTTTCTCTATGGTATTTTGCTTCTGGCTCTGTTTGTTTTGTTGGTGTTACTTAAATCCGTGTAGTAATAAATACCACTCGAAATAAACAATAAAGTATGGCTGACGGTAAGTAATACAAACTTTTATTTATAAATAACATAAACATAAATAACCTGAAATAATAGCTTTGCCATCAACTCTGCCTGCGGTGAACATTGTAAGTTGTACAACTTTTACTACATTAAAGTGTTTATTTTGCAGAAGATGTTATCCGCAGAAGACTCCTCATTGATGGAGATGGAACAGGAGACGACAGAAGGTTAAACGTTTTGTTAAAAACTTTAATAAAGTGGTGTAACAGCACAGATGAAAAACCTGAAGAAAGGTAAATAATTTTACATTTATATCAAGTGATTAGAATACGGTAATATCACTAATATATTTTTATACTATTTCAGTAAGTCAACACATGACCGCATGCTGGCCCAACTTGCTCAATGTGAATTTGCAGTAACAAAGTCTCAATTAGCCTCAGAAATGATGTCCGCTGAACTTACAAGCTATGAAGCACTGTCACAGATTCTGGAAACCGGTATAGAGGTGGCTAAAGGCAACATAGAAAAGAGTAAAGCTGATCTAGCTCAAGCAAAAACTGTCCGTAAGAACAGAATTGAATATGATGTTCTAGCTAAGGTTATAAGCGAACAACCTGATAGAAAAGAGACTTTAGAGCAACTGAGTACCCTAAAAACGGAATTAGGTAGTTTAGAATCGACAAAGCAGCAGTTAGAGAGTCGTTTGGCATTAAGAAAGAAGCAATTTCATGTACTGGTTACTTCAATTCATCAGTTGCAGGCTTTGTTGGATGAGCCTGATGATACAGAATCTGTTTCTGATGATGTTGAAATGAAAGACGACATTATAGAAGCATCAGCATGAATGATTAGATTTTTAATGTCTTAGATAAGAGTTAACATTTCTTACAATAATAAACATTATTTTTTGAACGTAAATGTTTATTTTTTTAAGAACCTACCTGTCTCTTTTTATTTTTTGTGTTGTCTTTGAGTATTGATTGCATTATTTTATTTTACTTTGTTCTTTATCACCTAGTCTCCTGGACAAAGGCATATTTTTTTACTTATGCAAGTTATTTTTATTTATAAGATGAATTCGTTTATTACTTAACTGTCTTAAAAACTATAAAACTTCCTGGGCTAAATAAAGGTCTGTCCAGCTGACCAATGTGTTAAAATGTCATTCAAGTCATAAAATACTAATTTAAAGAAAATAATAAAATTATTATTTCTCAATTTATGAAAGCATTGTTTTTATTATTTTAGCACAAAATAAAGCAGCCCAAAATAAATATATTTTCGTTCATTCGTTAAAGTCCACTGCTGGACAAACGCGAGAGCCCAAGGATTATTTTTAAAAACTCTGTTAAATATTTTCTTTATTCTGAATTCACGTTACATTTCATAAATAGCACGCGGTGGCTCTTCTCTCACTCCCCTTGGATGGCGTAATGGTACGATTAATCGCTTTGTACGGAGTGGTTCTTAAGATTCGAAGGCGCATTTTTAAAACAATTCGTAAGGCAGATTACTTTGTAAAGTGTTAAAAGTATGTGTCCTCGTAAATTTATGTTTATCTTAAATTAACCGATTATAATTACAATAGTTGTTGGCAACGACATGATTCCTACTAGGAATTTCATTGAATTATTATGGATCAACACCTAAACATGATAATATACTGTAGACCTCGTAGACGGTAGTGGTGGTACTTTGGTGGTGGCCATCAATAGGACAGACAGACAGTAATTTAAATTCCATTAGGTATCTACCTAAAAGCTTCCCTAGAAAGGACAATTTGTATTTTCCTAGCCGCCTTTCAAATCCTCTGTGACTCATAAACATACGTAGGAGTCCCACATGAGTTCCAAACACGTATGACTCAGTTCAACTTGCTAAAAAGTTTATATTTTTGTATCGTATGCCTACATGTTTAGAGTTGAAATTGTTTTGACAAAACAGATGTTTATTTTGTATGATTAGCGCGTTGCGTGCCCAGACAACAATTTTATATGTACGAAATGCGAGTCCAAATGTTGAATACAGGTAAATGTCTCTTTCAAAAGTCAATAGAACAGTATTAATTATTAAAAGGTACACCTGAGGAATGTACATTCGAGAGATCTGGTGAAAAGTTATTTTTCAGTCAGTTAACTGATATGGTTGCGTACCATACTCAAATACCTACCTAATTTTTAAGCTTTAACACTTACTAAACTCACCAAAAGCTAAGACAATATGATATACAAGCACCTATGAAGAATTTATGTATCAATAAAACTTGAATCTAATTAAAACATAAACCATAACTTTTAAAAGGATTTCTTCAGATACTTATCAATAAAAAAACATGTAAAGTAAAATAATTATTATTTTATAAACATTACCGTTGCGCACAATAGATAAATAACAATGATCAATTTAATATTACCATCTTTTTATTACATTACGCGTACCATCCCAAACTAATTTCAATAAAAATACAATCAACATCTTTGTACTTTCTTCAGCGATTGTACACAGTCAAAAACTAAACTTTTAACGCGCAAGTCCGCAGTGAGTCTTACATAAAGTGGCACTACGAATCAGCTGCGGCGGACAGCAGACGCGGCCTCCCGCTCAGCCCGGGAAACTTTCGCCACGGTACTCTTGAGAGAAAATGCCTTCCCTATGGGACTATCTCCACTTTAACAGACAGTACAACAACAAGAGAAACTTAGAAGAGGGGCTCTTCCAAATTGCCTCGCAGACCTGTAACATCCTGGTCAAAGTGAACAACACAAACAACATCAACCTGACTCGGAACGACAGGAGCGATGAGTACGGGTGCGCTGGCCCGCCTAAAGGGCCCGCTAAAAGTTCTATGCAGATCTGTGTGCCCAAGTTCCGGAAAAACTCCATAACTTCAGGCTGCAACCCCGGACTATCGGTAAGTGAACTTTTGGCCACAATTTCCCATTGTTTTAACTTGAACTATTGTTTTTCTTTAATGATGAAACACATTTTGGTGTTGCAAAAAAATGCGTGTTCTGTTACAGTAGAAATTGAGACAACAGTTAATTTAAATATTTGTAGAGTCCAGAATATATTTTGTAATTAATATACTTATTTATTAATTTTATTCATGCTTTAAGGAAGCATACTTGTTATAAGGATAACAAGTAATAAATTGTTGTAATTTATTTTGAATTTTTCACGCCTACTGAAAAGTTGTCCGACACCCAACGTCCATCAAACTTTTTATATGATAACGTAAGTACGTCCTTGTCTTCGCCGTAACCGTAAAGATGCATACGCGCGCCGCTGGCCCTTGCAGTTGGTACACTTTGATTGTTCGGTGGTATAAACAATATACATGCAATCCCGTTCAGTGGTGCTTTCCTCGTGCGGAGCCTTCAAAATTTATGCAAACTGATTTCACTTGAGGTACGTGCAGAATCCATGTGCATTGTTTATTGTTATTTATTTTTTACGGTGGCGTGTGGTGTGATCGTTGGCATATCGATTTTGTGGCAAGAAAGACATCGCGACCAGTAGACGTCGGTTCCGCTGACCTTGTTCCAATTCACGTATTTAGTATTTAATGCTCTTGATGGACACTACACGACTGTCTTTCGCATTCGATTAGAGCATTTGCATTTCTAAAGATGTAGCAATGAAAATGTAGAGCTACCTAAGAATTTACAGGTCAATTTAAAAATCGGTTAGTGGACAAGTATGGTCCGGTTTCTGAATTAAGATTTATTTACCGTGCTCATCTTCTAATCATGTAAGTATTAACTTTCATATTAAATTCACCATTGAATAGAAGATAGCATATTCAAGCTGTAATTCTCAATTCAGATACGGGGCCTGTGATGATTAATTATTAAGCTGTCTTTGAGTAATAACTTGCCAGTTGGTATAGGTCATGCATGATTTTTTACCGTGTAATAAATAAGAAAATACGCGTGAGGTACGCGTGGGTATATAAAAATCTAAATCTACTTACCTTTTAGTCTGGAAAACCTTTTATTAGTAATTCAGGGGAAGTCCCGAGGGAATCTCGTGCCTGTTATTCAGGAGACATAAGTGTGTTGCTCAAAGGCTTTTTGCTTTTAGTTCCCATGTGAGTGAAATAAGTAGGATTAGAAAGAAGTTACTTAGGGAAATAGAAATTTGCACTACAGGAAAATGGAAATCTATTAATCTACATGCGTTAATAGCTAGATCGGTTGCCAGTGCTGCCACTTTTTGTGATCAAATCTATACTTATAATAAATCTGTAGATAGGTCAATTCTGTACATGAAATACACCGTGTTACTTTGCATTCTTGCCATATTCACAGAGATAAAAGTAGGGACCAATACCTATTATTTAAGATAAACAAGAGTCTCCCATAAAGAAAATACACTGAGTTTTTAGTAAATTTGGTTTTGCAGTACAAATTGGAATAAACCAATTGTGTCTCGCACTTTCTACAGGTGCAAGTGGAATAAACCTAGTGGGCGTGGCCTAGTTCTTATTAATCTGTGATGTTTTATGGCTCTGGGTACCAGCCTTTTTATCCAGTCATAATAATTATTTTAAAATACTCTTCAGTTGATTTTAGATTTTCCTTTCTACTCTCAGTTTCTACTTTATGGGTTAAGGACCGTCAAAAATACGTAATAATTATTAGGCTTTTAATTAATTTATAACATTGTTCCCTATTTTTACAAATTAATAAATTAATATTTTAAACTATTATGTTGCATTTTTTACTATAAAATTATCACTTCACGGGATTTATTGCAACAATATCTATTTTAACGGTAAATAATATTTACCGTTAAAATAGATTCGGTTCGGCTCGGTTGCACGAGTCATGGTCGCGGGCAGACTACGCCGCATCTCTTCAGTCTGCCCGCGACCATGACTCGTGCAACCGAGCCGAAACGTCGGGAGGGTAAATATTATTTACCGTTAAAATAGATATTGTTGCAATAAATCCCGTGAAGTGATAATTTTATAATTTTAATAAATTAAGTATGAAATGAAATCACCTTATTCACAATTAATTATTTATTTATGAGTTCCTACTTACAAAGTTTACGTACTGCGAAGCAAGTGTTCAAAGTGTCCTCCGTTCTGATGAAGGCACAGTCTAGCACGGCGAAGCGTAGGTATTTCGCTTTAGTTTTCGCAACACATAAACGTTTTGTCTCACAGTTTCGCTGAAGCAATCCTTTCACGTAACACGTTTACACTTTTTATCTCTTCTGCGCATACCAGGTCGTTTCAAGTCACTCCAAAAATAATAGTCCATTGGTGTTAGGTCCGAGGATCGTGGTGACTAAGCCACTGGACCCCCTCGTCNATTAGAAACAAGTTACTTAGGGAAATAGAAATTTGCGCAACAGGAAAATGAAAATCTATTAATCCTACATGCGTTTTCAGCTAGATCGGTTACCAGTGATGCCACTTTTTGTGATCAAATTACTAATAAGAAGTAGGTATTATTAATTAAGTACCTAATGTTGTGAGCTCTACTAGGTACGTAATAATATTTAAATCTATATCGATTCACTCATTTAATTACAAAGGTGTGATAAAAATAAATTTATACAAGGTATAAAATACAAACACGTCAAAAGATAAGACGATAATCACAAAAAATATAACATTAAGGCGCTAATACGAATATCGCACGTAACGTACCCCACAATCTAGATGTGTACAACTTCTTAATACCTACCAACTATGCAAATCCCTTCGCGTACGAAATGGGCATCGAACACGCAATCGCTCGCCAGCCAATGTCGACTTTATGCACATTCTTGATCGTAAGTAACACTTTTCTTACCTTCTTACTTCTAGTTCACTTGCAAATAACTGCGTCTTTAACTGTCTAGAAATACGTATACTTAATTTAAAATTAGATGTCCAGTCTAGTATCTGCTTGCTAGAGCCGTGAGACATGTTCCGAGTCCAGCAGTGGAACGGACTATTCTGAAAGCAGCTCTTACATAAAAGATCGTCATCATCAAGTCATTATTTTATTATCCGCTGCAGAAGCACGACTCTCTAATATACCAGAGTAAATTGAAGGATTTCAAAAATCCAAAAAACTTTGCCTAATATTAATTCACTTATTTGGCGACTCTACTAAAAATCAAAAAGTAACTGAATAACAATGGGACCCGCATAACTATTGTGTCAAAGCATACTGCGGGCTGCCGTCACCATATCACAGTATGAAGCTTCTCTGTGAAGTCGACAACTCCGCGAGTGTTTACTTAACTATTCCGAAGTTCAGAGATAGTTATGATTGAATAGAAACTAGATAAATTAGTTGAAAACAGGATTATTACGGGTAAGTGCTACCTAACTCATCGCTGACGTGTATAAATGGGCTCAGTTAGATCTCTCTTTTAATTAATTGACTAATTTATAGCATTAATTAATTAATGTCCGCCGTAAATATCGGAATTAATCAAAAGTCTTTCGGTATTTTGTCAATGTTAAGTTAATTACTAGTTTAATTAATTAAAATTTTAAGGTTATTCGACATTACTGATAATTATTTTTTTTGCATAAATGCATGATTTTATTCTTTTTATGTAAAATATGACTTGTCTCATTACTGCGTTTTTTTTTATAGATTATAGTCGAAAATAAATAATAAAATATCGTTAAACCACAAACGCAAATTAAGATTAGGTACTGTTATAGCTCCTTAGCTGGTCTCGGGGTCGTGAAATAATGTTCAAGGCACAATTCAACAGTAAAACAGTGAATTGTCATCAAACACAACGAAATATACACATTCAACTTGGGTTATATCAGTCAAAACAATATCTAAACACCGAAATTCGTGAATTAATTAGTATTATATTATCTGTGCTATAATACAAACAAATTTTATCAGTTTATTACCCTTGCTTCTGCACGCGACTACTAAATTTCCGTAAACTGGATTTACAAACCTACTGAGGCTTCAAACCACAAACATTTTAGGTACCTTACTTTATGCTACGGCTACGCTCTATAGCACTGACATGAAAAATAGGGTCGGCCTAAGTAACCGACACGTCGGATAAGCGATGGCAGATTATTTATCGATTTCAAAATCACACCCTGCCCTAGTTTGAGGTGGAGGCTTTTAGCACGACCTTTTTAGCGAACCACATGTTGCCAAACCAAAACCCAAAACAAATTGAATTTACTTTGGCAGCAGTCAACTAACTAGCCGTCTCTCTTACTAAGCTTAATCTTGGAAAGTAATTAAGAAAATAAGACGTTATACGAGATTATTTTTCGTCTAAAGGCTTTTAAAAAGGAATTAGACTAAGTAACGTTGCTATTATATTATCTCTCTACATTTGTTGAAATAATCTTGTCAATCGGTCTTGAATTGAGTTCTTCTTATCCCTAATTCAATGGACAAATTGGATCAATTTGATAGAAACTCAATTTTATCGTTTCTGCTTTGGTGAAATCCAATTTCTTAAAATGTTGCCTTGTGAATCAGAGTAAGTTAGAAGTACTAAGTCCCTTTCGTAGCACTTTACACGTCCCATATTGGGTAATAATCTATAATAGCTAGTTTAAAAAACTTAAAATCTTTTGAATACATTATTATGTATCAAAATGTTAGTGATTAAGAACCAAAAATAATAACAATGTAAACGTGCCTTGAATAGGCATTACAAAACTAAGCTCTACTAAAGCTTTTGACTCGATTTGTACTTTTTAATGTTATACCGATCACAGTATTTAGGTATTCTATGACTGAGATCAAATCTACTTTTGACCGTTGTTTTGGAAATACGCACTTACGACTTTCTGAGACAGACCGAAATCAAACCGTTGATGTCGGAGCTTTGTAGTTGCATTAATTTTTATATTGACATGTGTGACGGCCATATTGAATGTATTGACAAACGCGTAAACATTTTAGCGTAGAT